ATTACGTTTGAAATTACTTATAGAGTTATCATTTATTAATCTGTAGTGTATATCTTTAGTCATAGTTGATTTTACATTTTTTTCTGTAATGGCAAAAATGGGTAGGTGGTCAGAAATTGATTGAACTAGTATACCTGCTGATTTTATATTTGGGACATTAGTGAAGATGTTGTCAATTAAGGTTGCTGAATGAGGTGTAACTCTAGTAGGTTTAAAGATCAAAGGAAATAAGCTATATGAAAATAACAAGTTGATAAAATCATTTGACGGATTATGGTGTTCTACCTTAAGCAAGTCAATATTAGTATCACCCATTAAATAGATTGATTTGTCCTCAGAACATAAAGAGCGAAGAAATTCTTCAAATTTTTCATTAAAATTGTTGATATTAACGTCAGGTGGTTTGTAAATACATGACACTAAGATGTTTTTTGAATTGGGGTTGAGTATTTCAATAGTTGTGGAGTTGCAATCATTGTGATTTAATTTTAAGTCTGGTCTAATTTTACAGTTTAAACCTTTACGGACAAACAAAGCAGTACCGCCACCGTTAGTATCTCTGTGGTCAAAAAAGGATTCATATTTATAATGATTAGATAATGATTCAATATTACTATTAAGCCAAGTTTCAGAAATACCAATTACCGAAAAGTCTTTCTCAAATTGTGCCATCAAGCCATATAAGGCTGATTTATTTGCATTGAGGCTCCTTGCATTAACATGTAAAACTGTAAGTTCATCATTTGATGAATTTCTAAGGTCATTGTTTACACTAATTAAGTTTTCATGATATTTACATGAATTCATATTAGTTTCTAATTGGGAGTCTAATTGATTAATATCATCCTTGTCGTTTGCAATGTTATTAAGATCTTTAGCATTGAAGACAAAGTTGTCACATTGGTCGTATATAGAAATGTCATCTAACATAGCATTGGCAAAAGGCAATATGCTCCAGAGACCTGGCATATCAGTATTGATAGTATCCAGGATCAAAGATATAATTGACCATGCTGGAGGGTGGGGAGCGGGAAGTGGTGAGCGGAGGCGAAAATACTGTATCACACATCATGCAAGAATGGGAGGGGCATACAATGCAGATCAAGATCTCTCTGCATAAATGAACCATAAAACACAAAATAATTATAATGATACATACATTCACCATACTACTATAATTATAGTGAAAGATATAATAGAATAATTCAATTCTGACAAGAGTTACCATACAGAGCCTTACCATCAAATAAGCATGTAAAGCTTCATCATTGCATACTATATCATATCGTAATTTGGACTTGGTGCCTAGTAACAGAATGATAAGTGTGCTTTGAAAGCAACAATTTTATGTACAACTTTTCAACTTATATCAAGTAAGATAATGTAATATCATGTCATAAAAATAATGTAGAATATCATGTAAGATAATATCATATCATAAAAATTAGTATCACTTGACTGTATATCAAGTCCCATTAATGTAGCATATCATATTCGATTATATCATGCCATAGCAATCAGTATCATTTTAAAAAATATATATCAAGTCCCATTAATGTAGCATATCAAGTAAGATAATATCATATCATGTCATAGAAATCAGTATCACATGACTATATGTCAAGTCCCATTAATGTAGCATATCATATTAGATAATATCATATCATGTCATAGAAATCAGTATATATCAAGTCCCATTAATGTAGCATATTGTATTAGATAATATCATGTCATGTCATAGAAATAATGTACCATATCATGTAAGATAATATCATATCATGTCATAGAAATCAGTATTACTTGACTTTATATCAAGTCCCATTAATGTAGCATATCATATTAGATAATATCATATCATGTCATAGGAATACTGTAGCATGTCATGTGTGATAATATCATATCATAGAAATCAGTATCATGTGACTATATATCAAGTCCCATTAATGAAGCATATCATTTTCGATAATACGATATCATGTCATAGCAATCAGTATCATTTGAATATATAAAAAGTCCCATTAATGTAGCATATCAAGTAAGATGATATGATATCATGCCATGTAATAGAAATAGTGTAGCATATCAACATGTTAGATAATATCATATCATAGAAGTCAGTCTCACTTGACTATATATCAAGTCCCATTAATGTAACATATCATATTCAATAATATCATATCATGTCATAGCAATCAGTATCATTTGAATATATATCAAGTCCCATTAATGTAACATATTCCAAGATAATATCATATCATGTCATAGAAATCAGTATCACTTGACTATATGTCAAGTCCCATTAATGTAGCATATCATATTAGATAATATCATATCAAGTCATAGAAATCAGTATCATTTGACTATATATCAAGTCCCATTAATGTAACATATCATGTTAAATAATATCACATCATGTCACAGAAATCAGTAACAATTGACTATATGTCAAGTTCCGTTAATGTGACATATCATACTAAATAATATCATATCATGTCATAGAAATCAGTAACATTTGACTATATGTCAAGTCCCGTTAATGTAACATATCATATTAAATAATATCATATCATGTCATATAAATCAGTATCACTTGAATATATATCAAGTCCCATTAATGTAGCATATCATATTAGATAATATCATATCATACCATAGGAATAATGTAGCATATCATGTAAGATAATATCATATCATAGAAATCAGTATCACTTGACTGTATATCAAGTCCCATTAATGTAGCGTATCATATTAGATAATATTATATTATGTCAAGGAAATTAGTATTATTTCACTATGGATCAAGTCCCATTAATGTATCATATCATATTAAATAATATCATATCATGTCAAAGAGATCAGTATTATAACTATATATCAAGTCTCATTATCATATTATATTAGATAATATCATATAATATTAGATAATATCATGTCAGGGGAATCAATTGATTAATGTAGAATATCATATCAGCTAATGACATATCATGTCGAAGAAGTCAGTATGTATCAAGTTTCATCAATGTAGAATATTGTATAAGCTAATATCATATCTTGTCGAAGAAATCGCTATCATATCACTTTATCATATCCCAGTGTATCATGTGTCATTTCACATCCCAAAATTACGGCGTCTAATGTCATGTCTGATTCAAAATCATGGCAAGGTTCAAACATACCATTTCCTTGGATAGATATCCAAGGATTGTAGTCTAAGAATGTTCTTCTCATAAGCCAAAATCAGCAAGTTCAAATCTTCGAATAACGCCAGTTTTAAGTTTACCAATTATTTTTCCATTAGATGACCAAGCATTCTCTGTCTCAGGATCATTTTTGACGGCTTCCAACAGTTGACGATTAAGGGGACTGAGATCCTCAAAAATAAGGACCCCGGTACCTTTTAGAGCTTTTTTCCTAGCCATTATTTCATCCTTAGTTGCTCTGAATTTGACCCTGACTATAATGTGCCTAGGCTTGGCATTTGTTGCCCGCTTTACTCCAACCCGGTGGGCAATTTCTATGTCATCCTCTGTCATATTAGGCATCACATTGTGTTTCACGATTGCCTCGGTGACTTCAGCTGCGCAGTTTTCCTGGTCTTTTTCTGGTATGCCGAGAACTCTTATGGTTGTGCGACGACTATATTGCGCATTATGATTTGACGCATATCTTAAGTCTTGTACTTCAATCTGCAGTGTGGCAACATCACGTTTGAGACACTCATTTTCAGTATCCAGAGCTCGGATTTTTGCCTGAAGGGGGGCTAAGGATTGTTGCATCACATTCTCAACGTGCGCTTGATATGATTTAAACATATTGTCAAAGTGATTTTGGAAATTTATTAAATCTCCAATAGTAGTCGGCCTATTAAGATCCTCAGGGTGTGGTTGCATGTTCCCAACTTGGGATGGATTTTGTGGGCTAGGGGCATGTTGCATTGGCTGTGTATTAGGTACAAATGTTGGTGCCCTCAAGTTAAATGCAGAGGGTATGGGTATAACAGGGCTAGTATGTTGACTAGTTGAGGACACTACAGGGATTGTTTGTCCTTGAGATTGTGTTGCCATAGTGCTTGTATGTTGTCCTACTCAGCTGAGTTTCTAAACTGACTAAAACTGATTGGCCACTTAAGTATAATATCAATGTTTATAGTTAACAGGTTAAGGGGAGGCATCAAAAGTTCAATGTCTGATAGGAAACTAAATAAATCTAGTTTTGAGTTGGACCCCCCCCCCTCCCCCTCAAAACTAAATACAATGAAAGTTGATCGCGGACTTTTCACATGTTTTAGCGTCTCAATTTGGACTTTCATGGGGACAGTACTATAACTTATTTATGATTCTTAAAACATGTGCCAACAACAATAGGCATAATATTCCATGTTGCATGCATCTTGGTGAAGAAGGCATCTGGTAAAGTCTTTATTTTTAAACCATTCCAAGGCATTTCGAGTCGAAATTGCGAAAAATCTAAATGTTGAAAATTGTCGGATAGCAAACTGAAATAGCTTTGACCCCCTCCCCCCCAAACTAGATTTATTTAGTTTTCTATCAGACATTGATCTTTTGATGCCTCCCCTAAGGAGATTATAATTCCTAGATGTGCAGTGTTAGGTCGCTATGACCCTGTATGTTTTAATGGCTACACTGTAAAATGTTACCTTAGTAGTTCCAATAGAGACTTTGGTTTTTCCGAGTATCACGGCTGATATTTATTGTACAGCTTCAAAAGTTAATATATGGCTGCTCCATATGTTCATGTAAACGTACACCAATGCTTGATATGTAGTTCCATCAATAATCCTACAATTCGACCATAAGATGCAGAGAGAAATTGTGCACTGCTACTCACTATTTGTCATGCTATAGTTTTTACATGTATACCAAATTTCATGAAGATCTGATGAATACTTTTGAAATTACAATGTCTTTGACGTTACTTCTGGATCACCCTGTAGATGCATACGGTATGCTGATCTTAGAAATAGCTTATATTTCAGGCAGCCGCATATCCACCTGTTGCTAAGTACTTTTTAAAAACTGAACTTAACTGGCTTTTGAGTGAATAGCAAATTGGGAGATATTAATTTTGGTTTATCAATTTGCATGATAAATTGAAGTTCAACAGTACCTCAAATTTCAGCTCATCGATTCAATGCACCTATTTAGACCAAAAATCTTCATAGGCTCCATTCAAAAATATTGTTATTACATTTCTAGTGAGCATAGATTCTTGAGTCTAAATAACGTGTAAAATGTTATAAAATCATGGATTTTATAAGTCACCCAACTAGATTTCATACTTTTTTTTAAAAGATTTGCCTGTCAACAGTCCTTGACATTAGTTCCAATTACTAAACACAAGAAATCTATGTAAACATCTAAGGGCTATTCATCTTCAAACTCAGTCACACACTTGTGTTTTTAAGGCACATTCATAACATCATAAATCGTGAACAAAACAGAGGTCATAGGAGTTGTGTTCTGTTTCATAGCTTTAACATAACATAAGGTCTACAAGATTTTATGTTGTCAGTTTAATTCTATTTGAATTTTGTTTCTGTACTGATTAAATCATTTGAAATTCTATTTGCAAGGTACTGCAAATAATAGGAAAAATTGAATGTTCAGATCTCTAGCTAAATAGTTCTTATTCAATATGAGGTAAATAATCCAAATATCTACGATTTACTGCAATATCGGTTTTATCACCTTTCTAATAGGCAGTCCATATTTTCCTTTCTTCATATCACCTCTTGGTATTTCTGATTCTGGGCCTGATGTAACATCGTTGTCATCTCGAAATGAGTCATTCTCTGATTCTGATAAAATGGTGGAATCATTATCTTGTGTGACACCTTCCATATCTGTTGGTGTGTCATTCGTTGGTCTGATTATGCTTATGTTGTGAATTAATCCTGACATACGGCAATCAATTGGTACTTTAGCTAACTTTGTTCGAGACCTTCTTGGGCTCCCCAATGACGACACTGAAACCAGAGAGTCTTGTGACCCTATCGAGTCATCTCTACGCAGGCGACTTATGTTGGACAATTCCGTGTCAGATTTACATGTACTTTCTTCATCATTTGTGATGTCCTCAGGATTTACTTGGACACATAGGGATCTCTGAACCATTTTCATTTTGTCGAGTTCCCTTTGGCTGATACTAGCTTTACATCCTGCCATTTCATGAGCTGCAATTGAGTTTGTCAGTGAATTGAATTTCCCTTGTAGCCTTTTCAGAGCAAATTTCAGCTCCATTTTCTCTGATGCAAGGAGAACAATCTTTTGCTGGAATGCTTCCTTATCTTCAGCAAGTCTAAGATATGCTTCTGTTGTGGCGAGTAGACCAGTCATCTCAGTTATATTGGCTGCTGTGAATTTCTTTTGCTTTAAAGTGTGATTTTCTACACGCAAACGGGCAATAGTGTTTAATAGACAGTTTACCTCTTTGCGACTTCGCCGTTCAGCTGCCATCAACATCTGTTGTAATTGCCATTCATATTGATCATGTTCTTTTGCCATAACGTTCAAATTATTTTGAAGTTTTTCTATTCCTATTGTGAGGTTTTGTACTTTCTTGTTAGATGTATCTCTCTCTTCTATCAACCAACTGATCTCCTTCTCTGCATCTTCTCTCTCTTGTATTCTCTCATCTATTTTTGCTTTCAACTTTGCTCTTTCTTTTCTCATATCATCAGCATCCGCCTCAAGAACATCTACTTCAAGTATCATTCGTTCAAGTTTATCCTTCAGTGTATCATTATTTTCATTAAATGTTGTGATCTGTTTGTCCTGAGAGTCTACAGTGTCTGTTATTAGCTTTATTTTATGTGCAAGGTATTCAGTCATAGCTTGGTTATCCTGCATGAGATATGTTGTGTCATTTATAATCTGTTGCATCTTATGAATAAAGTCTCCCACTCCTGGGGCTAAGACCGCCTGCACCCCAACGTCACATTGACCTTTCACCTTTTTACGTAGTTTCATCATCTTGTACATCTTTATCGATTATCAAAGTAATTTATTTTAGCATTTGCTTATTGTAAATGAAATCTGTAATTTTCTTCATGTTTTACTTTTCTTTTTGAATTTGTTTGAATTTTCACCTGTCTGCCATCTTTGAATTTTCTGAATTGTTTGGTTGCTAAGGGAGATTTGTGATGTCAAGAGGTAATGCCTGTGATGTCATAATGGAACATTTTTTATGGTTGGTGTTTCTTGTGATGTCATTTAACATTTGTTTGTTTATGTTTCTAATTTCAACAAATGGTGGTTTCTAGGGGTTTCCAAGAAATTTACAAGTAATTTGTGATGTCATAATTCAAAACAATTTGCAATTCTATTTATGTCTCCGTGTCAACATTATTTGTTTGATGCAGTGGTACTTTTGATATCAGTGCTTTTTTTAACAATTTGTGGCAAATCCAATACTAATGTGAGAGCAGATTGTTTATCAATACTTTGTATTAAATTGTTTTGCATTGTCCTTGGATGATCTGCTCCTTAGTAATAACTCTTGCCTGATGTTGCACTGCTAATAACATGACATGTGCATAAACTAAAATTTCACCAATAATTATTTTCACCAAAATTTAAGAATATCCTTATTCAATATTTCCATGTGTTAACATTGTCGAGTCGATTGTTCTCTTACTAAGACATCATTATTTCCATGGTTTAATGATGGTTGTAGGAACTTTACTGCTAAAATGTTCTCAAGTTTTGTGTTATTATTTCTTCATTAAAGACTTGTATTCCAGGAACACGATATAGATGCAATTCATCCCGGGTATGGGTTCCTTTCTGAGAGACATGATTTCGCTCAAGCATGTGAAGACAATGGAATACGACTGGTTGGTCCATCTCCAGAGGTTATTAGAAAGATGGGAGACAAGGTTGAGGCACGTGTGGCAGCTATTGAAGCAGGTATACTTGTCTGTCTATTTAGTATTAACCCTCACTCAAATATTCACTCTGTCCATACCACCCAGGAATGGAGCGTATTGATAAAGACCAAGCTTGCAAATATTTACATAAATTATTTTATTTTTATTATTTGATTTAACAAATATTGTTTTATTTGAAAAAGTGAATATGTATTGAGCACTCATACTGTATCTGTTCGCATAAGTTGAATGTAAAAATCATACTACAGTATAAACATGCAACATTTCGTTCAGGTGTGCCGATTGTACCTGGAACCCCAGGTCCAGTAGAGAATGTAGAGGATGCTTTAGTGTTCTGTGAGCAGGTGGGGATGCCTGTCATCTTCAAGGCAGCTTATGGAGGTGGTGGTCGGGGCATGAGGATGGTCCGTAACATAGAGGTAAGCAAAGTATAACTATGACATCATGGTATCCATGGTCACAACGATGGATTTTTTGAATTATTCATAGTTAAGAATGCTTCCATATTGAAAATGACCACATATGTATAGACATATTATAAGTGCCCATATGATGTTTCAGGATGTGGCAGAATCATTTGAAAGAGCAAGGTCTGAAGCTCATGCAGCATTTGGTAATGGAGCACTATTTTTAGAAAAGTTTATTGAACGACCTCGTCATATTGAAGTTCAAATATTAGGTAAGTCATTTCTGTTAAAAACTTTTAAATCTAAATTGTTAAGCATAAGTTTTCCATAAAGGATTAATAACTGTTGAAACTGTTTCTGGTTTATTTCCTAAACCCATCAGAGATTGTTCCAATAATTGGGAAAATAGAGCTCTATTACTTGCTCATAATTTGCTTCAAAATAATCAAGCCTGCAGTAATGTAAACATGTTGTTGTAAATAAACCATAATGTTTTCTTTTTATTAATTCAGGAGACAAAGCTGGCAATGTTATCCATCTTTATGAACGTGATTGTTCTGTACAACGTAGACATCAAAAGGTTGTGGAGATTGCTCCGGCTCCAAATCTCCCTGAGGTATCACGACGCAAAATGGCCGCTGATGCTGTTAAACTTGCAAAGCATGTTGGGTATGAGAATGCAGGAACCGTTGAGTTCTTATTGGATGAATCCGGCAAATACTACTTCATTGAAGTAAATGCCAGACTTCAAGTGGAACACACAGTGACAGAGGAAGTCACGGGGTATGTGCTTTATATCTTACTAGAAAACTTTTTAATATTTTAGAATATTGAAAATTCCAAATATACAGTTTAGTTGTACAAAAAAAAGCTTATTTTTCATTCATGGTCTCCCTGTTAATACGTTATTGTGATGTCCTGAAAATGAAAATTGGCTTCCTGTCTATTTTCAGTGTTGATCTGGTTCAATCTCAAATCCGTGTGACAGAAGGTCAATCCTTACCAGAGCTAGGCCTTAACCAGGAGGATGTGAAACTCCATGGATGTGCCATTCAGTGTCGCATGACAACAGAAGACCCCGCAAGAGACTTCCAGCCAGATACTGGTAGGATAGAGGTGTTCAGAAGTGGAGAAGGCATGGGGATTCGATTGGATGGAGCATCTGCATTTGCTGGAGCAATTATTTCACCGTATTATGACTCCTTGTTAGTGAAAGTTATTGCGCACGCTTCCAATCATAAGAATGCATGTGCAAAGATGTTGAGAGCACTGATGGAGTTCAGAATTAGAGGGGTGAAGGTGAGCATATCAATGTAAACGATGGTCAGAAATAGAAATCAAAGTGGACAAATTTTAAGTATGCAAATTCTAAATCATTAAAAAGATTATGATGATATTGAAATAATTAAAAATTTAATACTAGTATTATGTAAAAGCATAGAATAATAAGCCAAACAAATGCAACATTTCAGACTAACATCCCATTCTTATTGAACGTGCTCCAAAACGAACGTTTCACTGATGGCTCCGTGGACACCTACTTCATAGACGAACACCCTCAGCTCTTCCATTTGGTGAGGAGTCAGAACAGAGCACAAAAGCTACTTTATTTCCTTGGACACGTCGCGGTGAATGGCCCAACGACCCCTCTTGCTACTACGCTGAAACCAGCAGAAATAACTCCATCTGTGCCTGATGTGCCATTTGGTAAGCTTTGTTTATGTTTAAATTTGTGGTTACTGGTTGATGTAGAATTGTACCACATACAGTAAAACTTATGTAAGCTGAACACTCTCTTTGCACTAGTTAAAAGTGTTTGATCTTTAAAGTTGTTCAAAAAGTTTCATTTATTTTACTTCAATGTGGGTCATCTTTATGTAGTATTCTGTGTTGGTTGACTTATATATTAACTAATTAAGAATTATATTTGGAATATAGGGTGTTGTGGTGAGGTTATTATGAAATGAAATGTAAATGAATTGAACAGCAGATCTTAGTGAACCCATAATAAGAAAAGTAACTAGGGAGGATACAGTTTTAGATCTTTGACCAACACCTTAGCTGTAAGGTTCATACTGAATTCAGATTCTAACATGTACATGTATTGCAAGAAAAAGGAAGTATTATCAGTTATCACACGTTTCAGCATGTGATACAGGAAATATTCCACGAAAGGTAATACTGTATCATCCACGAAACCGAAGCTTGAGTGGTGATACATTGTTACCCAAGTCACATGTCTAGGAATTTTGATGCATTTTGATTTGGTCAGTTATGATTGTGTTCAGTACCCTGTACTCCTGGTAACTAGTATTATCAATCAATGCATGGTAACTTCATCCTGCAAATCTTTTTTTATGCATTGTAATGTTGAATATTGTTCATAAATGTGGAGCTTTTATATTTTATTGTGGAATATCTACAATTCATGTTAGAATCTGATTGGTTGCATGTCAAGTAAATCCTGTCTATTTGAATAGTAGAACACATTTTACTGTCATTTGTCTGAAATGAATACCTCTCCAAGGAAAACACCTCTCAAAAGAGCATTTCACTAAAGAGAACACCTTAGGTTCCAAGCACACCTGACTAACTCACTAACTTAAGGTACTGGATGTCCATAAAGTCTCTACACTTTACACAGACTTTGAATTTTAATTTTAGAGACTTTATGGAGACCCTGTATATCTTGCATGATATGGAATTTTTGTATAAAATTCATTATTTTGTGGTTTTTGTGTGAAATACACTTGTGTGTTAAAAAATGAAATAATTGAAGAATCTTCATTCTTTATTTCAGATACTGAAAGGTTTGGTGAGGAATATTAAAAATATTAAACTTATTGTTTTAATATACAGTATTTGTACCAGTCATGTCATGTTTTGTTTGTTTAGTTTTTTCTTCAGGTGCTTCGGGTCCTTTAGTGTTTATCTATGCATGAAGCCTCCTCACGTTTTTGCATATAAATTGCATCTGTATACACGTAGTTGCTACTCAAAATATTTAAAGCAATTATTTATTTCTTGAAATATTCTGAGAAGCAGGTGTTTGTTTTGAGATGAGATGCAGTTGTTTATAATCAAACTAACAAGTCACATTACATGTTGAGAACCTATTTTGAAAACCAAATGCATGCAACTAATTTTTCACTTGCTTTATCCAGGTCTAAAATAGAATAAAGGGTCATAATCAAGAATTTGATTTTCTCAGATACGTTTTAGTCAGATACGCAAGATTTACAAATTGGTACATGATTAGATGTGTCACTCTTTTTTGTTCAGATATAGAAATTAGTGTGTTATGATATGAATGGGGTCTCTGAAAACTTTATTATGATTAGACAGAAACTGGGTTTATATTAGATGGTGACCACGTCTTAACATTCTTTGACTATCTTCTCATATGTATGTGTATGGGACAGAGTGTAAAAATCATAAACTATTGAAACTCTAGTACTATAGTGTCCCATTATCTGTTTTGCCCTATGTCTGTCTTGTTATGGCCCAAGTAATATTTTACCATTTTATATGCATGAATCTAGCAGCAATTTTGTTTTTGTGCAAGAGAAAATAGCTAAAATGAGCAAGTAATATTGCAAACGTAAAAAAAGAAGCATGATATGCAATAATGTAATACTCTCTTTAGTGCTTTGCTGTTCACAGGTTTTGCTAGTTTGTCATTTATACTTGTGGAAAATATGCATCTTCTTTCATATATTAAAATCTCACACTTGTAGGATATTGTTGGCATGCCGTAGTTTTCTTAAATTTTGAACCCTAAGAAATTAACATAGAATTACTCATTATGTAGAATTAACCAATTCAATTAACAAATCATGGTTAACGTAAGTTTATACATCAATTTAATGATTCTATTTGATTCTAGGAGCTGATTTGAAAAGTGGATGGAGAAAGATCTACAAGGAGCAAGGTCCTGAAGCATTTGCCAAAGCCATACGCAACCATGAAGGTGTTTTACTAACGGATACAACATTCCGTGATGCTCACCAGTCTCTCTTAGCAACCCGTGTAAGAACACATGATCTGAAACGAATCTCGCCATTTGTGGCGCACAACTTTAGTAATCTACTCAGTGTGGAGAATTGGGGAGGTGAGTAATAGATGTTTTTGATTGCAAAGGGACTGACTGAATATATAAATATATGCAAACAGACATTACTATGTTTGGGGGAATATTGCAATATAGCCACATCAGTATACTCAGGTCTCATGACTTTCTTTAATAGGCACCTCAACTGCTAGTGACATTTTTTCAACTTCATATATTTATTATACGATGCACATATACATCATTTTTTCAATAAATATCCATTATTGTCTTGCAACATTAATACCTATTTTCAAGAAGTGTTTAATGTACAATATGTATATCTATGTGGAATGTTTGATATTTGTTTTGCAAAGTTTGATTTTTTGCATAATGTTGATATTTTTAGGTGCAACATTTGATGTTGCCATGAGGTTCTTAACAGAGTGTCCCTGGGAAAGACTTGAGACTCTCCGCAAACTGATCCCCAATATCCCGTTCCAGATGTTGCTAAGGGGAGCTAATGCGGTTGGATACACCTCATATCCTGATAATGTTGTACATAAGTAAGTTACCCTCATACCCTGTACATAAGTAAGTTACCCCATCCCCTGATAATGTTGTACATAAGTAAGTTACCCTTATACCCTGATAATGTTGTACATAAGTAAGTTACCCTTATACCCTGATAATGTTGTACATAAATAAGTTACCCTCATACCCTGATAATGTTGTACATAAGTAAGTTACCCTATGCCCTGATAATGTTGTACATAAGTAAGTTACCCTTATACCCTGATAATGTTGTACATAAATAAGTAAGTTACCCTCATACCCTGATAATGTTGTACATAAGTAAGTTACCCTCATACTCTGATAATGTTTTACATAAGGATGTTACCCTCATGCCCTGATAATGTTGTACATAAGGGTGTTACCCTCATGCCCTTATAATGTTGTACATAAGGATGTTACCCTCATGCCCTGATAATGTTGTACATAAGTAAGTTACCTTCATACTCTGATAATGTTGTACATAAGGATGTTACCCTCATACCCTGATAATGTTGTACATAAGGATGTTACCCTCATGCCCTGATAATGTTGTACATAAGTAAGTTACCTTCATACTCTGATAATGTTGTACATAAGGATGTTACCCTCATACCCTGATAATGTTGTACATAAGGATGTTACCCTCATACCCTGATAATGTTGTACATAAGGATGTTACCCTCATGCCCTGATAATGTTGTACATAAGTAAGTTACCCTTACACCCTGATAATGTTGTACATAAGTAAGTCACCCTCATATCCTGATAATTTTGTACATAAGTAAGTAACCCTTATACCCTGATAATGTTGTACATGAGTAAGTTACCCTCATGCCCTGATAATGTACATAAGTATTAAATAACCTTCATACCCTGTACATAAGTAAGTTACCCTTATACCCTGATACTGCTGTACAGAAGTTAGATGCCCCATACCCTAATAATGTTGTACATAAGTAAATTACTCTTATCCCGATCCCGCATTTAGCCAGGATATGAAATGGAATGAAGCTACAATAACAGGATAATGACATTCAGATTGTGAAATCATACAAAATACAAATAAACTTTCAATCAAACAGCTTCAGTTAATCAATCTTAGGTGTGTCATTTAATTAAATAGGTCAATTAAATTTTTTGTTGTAACTAATTGTGCAATTAGTTACAACTTTTTGGCCTAACAAATGTTTTATTTTACATTGTTACTGGTATTATTATATGTCAGTTCATCAATGTTTTGGTCATCTCAACTGCAAGTCAAATCAACCCCTGTAAAACTCAACCCCAAATCAACTAAACCCAATAAAACTCAACCACTATATATCTTAGCATTGACAAATTTCTATTCCAAATGATATAAAAGTTTGTTGAATAAAAAGGTTTTAATGATTATGTTTCAATTTTTGATTTCAATTCTAAGACCTGCCTTGTATCGTTGAATTAAGTCAATAATGAAAGCAATCTCCAGAGCTCCAAACCATCAATATTTATATTACATGTACTATGTAATTGCTCTTCAGATTCTGTGAAGAAGCTGTCAAGACAGGCATGGATATATTCCGTGTGTTCGACTCCCTCAACTACGTTCCCAATCTGATGTTGGGCATGGAAGCAGCAGGGCAAGCAGGTAATTTTACGATTACAGAATTGAAATGCAGTAGTTCCATTTTACAGGAATATATAAAAGCCGGACAGAGGAAATATTTTGATGTTGTCCTAAAATTTCAGATTGCATTACTAGAGCTCATAAAAAGTTTTTGTTTAGATCTGTGGTTCTTTCGTAAAGCAATCAAAATTTAAAGCTCTGGACTTTAAGAATACCTTTGTTAGTATACTGTATGTTCCAAAAATCAAAAGTTAAGAATAATCTGAATCAAAGTCATGTACAATACCCAATATATACATCACTATATTCACAACTTACAATTTTGTTAAAAGGTGGCATTGTTGAGGCTGCCATATCATACACCGGAGATGTATCTGATCCAGCACGTACCAAGTACAATCTCGACTATTACGTTGATCTAGCTGAGGAACTCGTAAGAGGAGGAACTCATATTCTATGCATCAAGGTATTAGGCTATTAGACATATGTTTTTAAGTAATTTGGGGTCAGGGTCAGGTCAAAGGTCATGTTGATTTCAAGCCTGTCAAGCAATGTGTAAAGATCACGGCTCCATTCATGGGTTTAGTTACTCAATCCACCAACACAACAGTCTGATAGGCAATGAATTATAGTCCATGATATGAGCTGTGGGGAGCATTGATTTGTAAAGATTTTATTCTGAGTAACAGAGAACATGTTTTTTAGCTCCCATGGTCAACCTTGAGGATCTCTTTACAATCTTGTAATTATCCCAACGAACGAATTCGCTAGGGATATAGTGAAGCCCTCCATCCGTCCGTCCGTCAGTCAGTCACTCCGTCCGTCTGTCCGGAAGATAACTCAAATACTAGTAGATGGATTTTCTTCATATTTAGTGGAAAGATGTATATTGGTGAATAGTTTTACGCAAAAAAAAATGGCCGCTGCTTTAAAAATGACCGGACTTTTTCGCAAAAATCATAAATTTTTCATTCTAAACCAAAGTAATTAATATTATTGTTTGTAATTTTGGTAGTATATTAACAACATTTATCTATTTGAACATATATTCCGTGTTTTTCATCCTGACCCCCAGGGGCCGTGTATGGGGGGACAGGAAAACAGAAATTTTTTCAATTTTAACCAAAGTAATGAGTATAATTGATTGGAATTCGGTAATTGATATTTTGTTCGTTGTGATTTGCTACTCCGCGGAGTTGCCGTTATCTAGTTATTATACACTCAAATAGTTTTTAAAATAACTTTGGAGCTGTAGTCTCTTATGCATTGAGTCTATGAGTCTGTATTTTCAAAATTGTAGGACATGGCAGGTCTACTGAAGCCCAAGGCTGCTACCATGTTAGTTTCTGCACTCAGGGACAAATTCCCAGATGTCCCTATCCACATCCACACCCATGACACTGCAGGGGCTGGTGTAGCCTCTATGCTTGCCTGTGCAGAGGCTGGTGCTGACATTGTGGACTGTGCAGTAGACTCCATGTCTGGTATGACATCACAACCAAGCATGGGAGCCATAGTTGCATCACTGGAGAAAACTGCCCTAGATACAGGTATCTAAAATGAAATGAAATGATAAACAGATTGAAAATGGCTCAAGCTCTCTTTTCCTTACAATATACAAACATATTCGCTATACTGAGCCGAACATTACCTTATTCATTACTAAACCTGCCCTTAATAGTTCAATGTATTTTAGTCAATGCTATATTACTCACATAAGTCATGCTTATTGAACATCAAGGATCCAATTTTCAGTTTTATTCAAAAAATGTCTTAAAACAAAACCCTTCTTAAAATTAAGATAAAAATGTGTTAAAAACTTTGTGCACTAATTTCTTTCAGGTATCCCATTGAAGGAAGTATTCAAGTATTCTGACTACTGGGAACAAACCAGACAATTGTATGGACCCTTTGAGTGCACCACTACGATGAAGAGTGGCAATGCAGATATCTATGAGAATGAGATCCCAGGAGGACAGTACACCAACCTCCAGTTCCAGGCCTTCAGTCTTGGTCTTGCATCAGAGTTCAATGAAGTGAAACGCATGTACGCTGTGGCTAATAGACTTCTCGGAGACATAATTAAGGTGGGTGTTCAGTAAAATCAGTGTGAATATTAAACATCTTTGAGATTTGAAAGTGTTCATTTGAAATATTCAACTGAAATGTGTGACTCAAAACTTAGCTGATGGGTTTTAATTAAGGCAGATTGATTAGAATAATTAGTCTAAAACTTTCCAGATGTAGGTTTGTATATTCGTATCTAGTCAACTTCCAAGGTCCACCTTGAACTGTAGAACTGTGGATAAAAGAGTGCAGAATATCCTGGATTTAAGATGACAGGACCAATATCTAATGAATGATCTTGGTGTTGTATAATATACCTTTTGACAAAATACTAAGTGACATATATTCAGATAGTGAAATATTGATTTAATAAATTCTCTTCATTTGTACTACATTTAGGTGACTCCATCATCCAAAGTTGTTGGTGATCTGGCCCAATTCATGGTGCAGAACAAGCTTACGGCTGAGCAAGTGGAAGATCGCGCTGAAGAGCTTTCCTTCCCTAAATCAGTGGTAGAGTTTATGCAAGGCCATATTGGCATCCCACCAGGTGGATTCCCTGAGCCACTTAGAACAAAGGTACTAATTGCAAGTAAAAATCTATTTGTATACATAAATTAAGTTACGATACATGCATTCATCCAGTTGCATGCATCTATCCATTTGGCATGCATTTATCCGTTTGAATGCATTTTTTCAGTTTCATGCAATTAAATATTTGCATGCATGAATTCATTCATATGTCCTTTCATATTCACTAAAATTGGTCAATTGATGTAATGTAGTATTGATACATTTGAAAAACCTATCCAATATAACATACAGTCAATGGGAAATTATTTTGTTCTTTTTCAGATCCTAAAGGGAATGCCAACAATAGATGGCAGACCAGGTGCCAGTTTATCCCCATTAGATTTCGCACAACTTGGCAAGGAATTGGCAGAGAAACATGGAAAAACTGTGAAGGAACGTGATGTCATAAGTGCTGCCCTCTACCCTCAAGTCCTCGATGACTTCATGGATTACATCAATCTCTATGGGCCTGTTGATAAACTTAACACAAGAATTTTCTTTGATGGACCAAAGATTGCTGAAGAAATAGAGGTATAAAGAATTTCTTTTATGTATACATTCATTTATTGTTGTGTTTATATTGTTGATAAAAGATGGTACCCCATGTTATGCTTATACTAGGGGTGGGACGGAACAGAAAAACTTCGGAATGGGACGGAACGGTATTTAGACCTTCGGAACGGAACATTTTCGGAACGGAACATCTGCCTTACCCCATCGATCCAGTCTTGGGAAACCAAAGTGCTCCCAAACTGAGCTCTTGAGGTTTTTTAGAGCATTTTCTATTGTAAAAGTTTCGCTCGGTGCTGCCATTATAGAGAGCCTACGAAGTCAAACTTGAAATGAAACGAATTAAATATTTGAAACAAAGATAAAAGATCGCGATGATTGAAATATTATTCATATACACTGCACAATTGATTAATTGATATGATAATATAGTTATTCTTCATCGAACGGGATTTTATCGGATCGTCCACTACCGCTATATTTAATCAATAAATATTGATTGTTTTCGTTTGCTAAAGTTGTAGTTCTACCGCATACTGACTGAAATTTGGAGGAGAATCTCTCGTAAGTTTTAAAATTTATTTTTGATTTAAAGGCCCCATTTAAAGTTTAAACCACTTTGGTTTATATTGTAGTCTTACCCAATGTTATCAAAGTGTGATATGTGAAACTTTTTTTTTTAATTTCAAAACGTGGTTTTTGATAGACTTTTTGTTCCAAAATTTGTGAATTTATTTAAAACCAACTTTTAGAGGTCACTCATATCTTCTAATTAGCCACAATTCATACCAATGCATAGCATACATCCTCCCATGTTTTTTGCCGAAAAAATTAAGAAAATCGGTTGATAAACAAGCGAGAAATGAACTTATCAGTGCATGAAAATGGTTCTGAGAAAAATGCATTTCAAAATTTTAGTTCTCATAGAAACCAATGGTACAATGATATCTAAAACATAATTTATTCTTCCTTTTAACCTGGTTAGACAATCAACATTGGTTTTTTATGAAAGTCTAGCATATTTAGAAAAGATTGACATCGAAAAAAAAATTCAATTTTTTTCAAAAAGTTTTTGTTACCTTAGTGACATCACTATATGTTTCAAAATATTTTTGATAAGCTAAAACATTGAAGTGGCCCATTAAATATGACATTTTATTATTGAAATAGTGTGTCTTTTGTTCAATCTTTGCATTGGTGTTAAAAATATAATCTTTTTTGGAATGCATTAAGAAATATTTGATGATTAAGAAATTTCAACTTTTTTTGAAAAATGGCGGGAAAGGACCTTATACACCCTCCATTGGGATCTCCCCATGGGAAAAAAATAATTCATCTGATTTTTCAAAATGAACATTCTGCTTCAATTATTACATTTATATGCACACTAGTATCTTGTTGACCTATATTCAGCACTGTATTGATGTATAGGCCACTTATTAGGGTCATAATTCAATCATGAAGTGTAGAGGCATAGATTCCAAACCAGGAAGTATTTTTGTGTCTGTCAAAATCCATTTACATCCTACGCATCCCTGCATCTTATCCAAATATGTTACTACATAATTAAATATAATAGTATAATCTTTGGTTTTACAAACTTGTATGATATTTGATAAGTGTAAAAGTTGTTTTTGGAGCATTTTTCTATAGCCATTTTGTAGGGGGAAAAATGATGAAAAAATGTACAATCTTTTAATTTTAAGTATGACCTGAATCGATTGCAAACTTCATATTTGCACATTTGATGAGATAAACCATTTGTCTCGTATTGTGAAATTATTAAGTTTGCAATCGATTCAGGTCATAGTGTATTTTTGGTATTTCTGTGATAATCAATGGAAACCAATGGCCTCTATTGGGATCTGCTGATATCCTCATGTTAAGTCAATGGTGCACAGCCCCATGTAAGTCAATACAACCTTACTGAACGAAATGATCCCTATCTCAGCTTATGTGTGTCCGAGCACTTTAATATTTTCCAAAGTATTATATGACATTTTATTCTTCATGTTACACCTACAAATGATTCATTTTGACCATAGGGATATTTGCCAATAATTGCACCTTGTCCTTTGAATATTTGAGAAATGAAATGCTCACAACTTTTTTTTCAAAAAAATTTTTTCTTCAAAAATCTCTAAAATCACTTTTTAAGTCCTGACAAATAGTAAATGAATGATAAAAAAATATTTTCAAACTTTAGATGGGGACTTTAAGACAAAATCGACTTATTTACGATCTAAAAATACTGAGCTTGAGGTGTCTTGTCCCGTTCCGAAAGTGCTTCCTCGTGTTCCGAGTTCCGATACCGAACCCAAATACCGTGGAACGAAACAATTTCGTCCCACCCCTAGCTTATACCCATACATTTAGTCAGAGAATGGTCTAGTGAATTAAGATTTAAGATGTCAAGGAATCGATATGACTATATAAGATCAGTTTGAAAAATAAAGCTTGCGGGCGCGCAATTAGATTTCCTTTTTATAAAGCTTGTAAAATTTGATTATAACATATTATATATTTTCGAACGACTTTAGTCACATAAAGAACTGGATACATGAAGATATATATTCCACAGTTATTTATGCATTAGAGTTAAACAGTCAGTCTTATAATTGATACTTAATGAAATATTGGCAAATATGTTAAAATGAAGTATTGTCTATCATTTAAGCAATTTTTCAGGATGAATGATTCAATTCTAATGTCACTTCTGAAAATTCCAGGTTGAAATTGAGAAGGGCAAAACTCTTCACATCAAGATGTTGGCTGTTGGTGACCTGAACAAGCTGGGACAGAGGGAGGTGTTCTTTGAGCTGAATGGTCAACTGAGAACAGTCCTTGTGAAGGACCAGACTGCAATGAAGGTAAGAGATTTGAATTAATTGAGAGATGTCTTAGGGGTGGTGACCAAATGTCAGTTTGAGAAAAATTAAGTCAATTTTATTATTGTTTAACCCCCATCCATATTACAGGATTTGAAAATGTTAGTTTGCCCTTCACAGAATTTAAAAATAATTTATCGCTCATTCTAGTGAAATTATCATTTACTTCTTCTGCCTTACAAAATTGACTTCATTATTCCACAACGATACCGTAATTTGGGGTAATCAGTTTTATGGAAGAATTTGCTATTTCCCAATATTCTTTGGAACACTTACATCCTTATAATATACATAAGAAGCAAAATAGGCGCGACTTTAGGAACATTTAGTAATAAGTAATCTCAACTTTTTGACTTTCCAAGGCACTTTCTCTAGACACAAATACATTGATTTATTTTGACCTATACTAATATCTCAACAGCCCTGTGAAATGTTTTTAATATTCATATATGAAAATGCTTTTCCAGACTATGCACTTCCATCCTAAAGCCCTGAAAGGTGTCAAGGGGTCTGTTGGTGCTCCAATGCCTGGAGAAATTGTGGACCTCCGTGTAAAAGAGGGAGACACTATCAGCCAAGGAGACCCCTTAGTTGTACTTAGTGCCATGAAAATGGAACTCTTGGTTAGCGCACCAATGTCAGGAACAATTAAGAAATTACATGTTGAAAAGGGCATGAAGCTTGAAGGAGATGACCTTCTCTTGGATATAGAGTAGAAGATACACCATTTAGAATATAAGGATTTCAGATACAGTGAAACAGATGTACTGTAAAACCTGTTACTGAGTAGAACACCTCTGTCAGTGGAGAAGAAAGTCCTATTATTCAATTTGAAGTCAACTCAAGTGGAAGAGCAACCAAGTGGTACACAATTTTTATAGTTTTACTGTACATGTTAAGAGAGTGTGCATAGAATAGTAGACTACTAGGTAGAAGAGGGGGAGAAACCCCAGGGTTCAAAGATGACATACGCTTATAATGTAAATCTGTATTGGGATGACATCATCGCTGATTGGTTTAGCGAGTCAATCGTTGATTGGTATAAAAATAGGTCAATTTGAAAACTTTGAAAACCAAGATGGAGGGTAAGTACTTCCGGGAAAGGAGGTGCGCGAAGGAGGAAATCGTATTTCATCAATTGAATCATGGGGTTTTCCCTCCTCTTACTAGGTAGTAATCTATAAGTTGTACAACTGTATAGAGATACTATGAACTCATTGATGTCAGTGGAGAAACTTACTTTGTGTGTAGAAAGAACTGTTCACCATTTTTCACTTTCAAAGTATTGTTCACGAAGGCATGTTTTACTGCAGTTGTTACTACAGTTTTGTAGTATTAATGTATTTAGAATTCTGTCTATTTACAATAAATTCTCAGTTTTTTATTTTGATTTCCAACCCTACGCAAATTTTTTTTTTCTATTATCAATCCAATTGCATGAATATTGCACCTGACTGAACAATATTATCATTACATATATACAGAATTATCGTCTAACATAACTTTTAACTCACAATGAAATCTGGAATATCATGGTTAAAGGACTCGTGTAAAGTTTGAGAATATTTTTAACAATCAAATATTACTTCTTTCAAATAAAATGTTTGTTCAAAACGGTCTTTATTTGAAATTTAACAAATATTTCATCTTTAAGGAGATTTCATGCAGCAGAGAAAAGTACAGTTAAGTTGGAATCAAGGAATCACAATGACTGTGAGATATATTTTTACCAAATCATGAACAACCAGAAAAATGATATGATCAATTATATGCTTCTGAAGCCTGATTAGAATAAATTTTGATAAGAATTTTACAATGAGAGTCTCATTTGATATGATCATGAAAGTCTCTTTTATAGTAAACTGGGTCACTTGACTGTTTCTTAACATTGAATCTAAATTGATACAACAGTATTTCATCAGGAAAGGTATTATCTAGAAGGACTATAGGGTGATCCAAAATATTATTTCTGTCTGTATCAGTCCACTCATCCCTCTACTAGAGTTCCTTTTAAGATTTTCAATGCAAATGCTTTGTGTCACCCTGTATTTCAACTAACAGTGTTCATACATGTGAATTTTGATACTGGTGGAGGCCATATAGATATGTCATGTAACAAGTTGTTATGTATAGAATGTAGATGATTTTTGAATTGTATATAAAGATTTACTGTAGCATATAGCAAAGTTATAATATATTAATAATTCATTAGCGTAAGCTTCTTTAGTTTCGTTTAGTGCCTCAACAGTATGTCTGATTTAAGAGTAAAAAAAATATGAATATACTTGTTGTGTATACAGGTATTACGGTAGTACCTGTAAAGTGGAATACCCCTGTGATCAGAACACCTTTCTAAGCAGAACACCTCTGAAAGTGGAACACTTTAGAGTTCATTGTGCAATGAACTTCAGAGAGTTGAACACCTGTTTAGGGCGTTTAGAGGTACCATTTGCACAAGTTTCATTGTAGTTGAACTGTAGTCACATATTTTAAAGTTTGCCAAAACATTTTTGTTGTTTATGTATGTAAAGCCATATGAAGGTCATAAGTTTGAGATAAAATACTGTCAGTTGTTGAGATTACATTGAATAAATAGGTATGTAAAGGAAGATAGGGACCACATTTCATACACATGTTCTGTTGTCAAATGTTTATCAATTCTGCTATGTAATATATAAGTGGGCTTGGCATGCTATAGTATATACCTCTTACCAAGCAGGTTAAAATGTTAGTCATTCCCTTAACACATTTGGACAATAAAGTAATAAAGAAAATATCGACCCTAGTTCTTGTGGTACCCCTGTGTAATTATGCACTGTACAAATCAATGGAGATGGGGGCATCTTTGGCTGTGACCAAACTTTATTTAACTAGGGACTGACTTTTGATCAAACATAATGTGATAAGTATGCATCTTTCCTGTTAAATTTTTTACCTCAATATCATTTATGGTATGTCAGTACCAAAATTACTCAATAAAGGATTGTTTTGACACCCCACAAATATATTTTACTTTTGTATATTCCTATCTTTCATGTAACAATGTATTTTTGTTATGAAAATGTGAACAAGTTGGGAATTATTTTTGAAAGTCATTGTTCTATTGTTCAGATTTCATTGTGTCAAATTAAACCAATTGTAGCTATGGGAGTAGCCAGGCCTGAGGCACCTGCTTCACCAGAATTCTACAGAAAAGTTAATATTCTGACCACTTTGTAATTAAACTTTGGTTGTGATGTCCAATTGTAGAATTATATCCTTTCCATTTTTACCTCACCAATTAAAAGCCTTGCCTTTTTCAGACCCTGGCAATGTCCCTGGATGGCGATGTTTCCCTTTGCTAATCACAAAAATATTATGAAAGGAGATATTATTACGTACTGTTATATGTGAAATAGAGTGTTATAGCCCATAGATAGGGCTGCGCATAAACAAAGGGACTTTTGGTGCAATCAAAAGTGACATTATGTATCCTGGAGTAAAATGTACATTTATCAATGCACTGATTGTATCATATTCTTACCCCGGTCTATACAGAGCTATCTTTGTGGACAGTGATTGGCTGGAAGGTTGTACAATCTCTTAGCAACACCACACAACAGTAGGCAATAGAAATAAATAACATAGAAACACAGATATTATATTTTGTATGTTTTTATTTCTGAAAAATTATATTTAATACATATACATTGTTTAAACATGTATAATAATTTGGTAATCTGTGCCCGCTACATGCAGGCAACTGCACAAATATTTGTTCTTTTTCGCTTAATATCTTGTTTTTCATATACATATTTTTGTTCTTTATTGAGTAGTAGCATGCATCTCAGTGTATTAGTTTACACAATTATCAGCTCTTGTGTAATACTATGATACCTTCTTGTGTATATGTGGGTTTATCTCTAGTGAGGTCATCATTCATGTACAGGGTGTTCAAGAACTGAGAAAATGTATACTGCAATGTATCTTCTGAGCACCCTGTAGCAAAATATGATCAAAACTGAGATCTGCCCATTCCCAACTACAGGTTGACTCCAATAATGTTACTTTTAATCAACACATCAAGCTTGACTGTGTTAATGTTACTATAGTTTGACGTTATTAATGTTACTCTTCTCAGGCCTTGACCTGTTAATGTACACTATGATCAAGCCTTGACTTTGTTATTCACACTTTGGCATCTCATTGAAAACCTGCTACTTATACCCAAAAAGTTCAGCCCATTCCCTCTAAGTCATCGCTTTGTGACAATCACATTTACTTTGGTTTCTCACAGACGTGAATGTAATATGCGGGAGTGTCCTTCTCAGTGAGAGTAGAGAATTCTTTGAAATCACCATAAACATTGTGGTTGCTCTTCTCCCCGAAGATATCTTTAATGAGATTGTTGAATGCTTCCAGTCTGTGGGGATAGTAGGATAACCTAAATGTGTGGTGGCTGAAAAAAACACAAACTTTTATGAAGCATTGTTTAATGTAGTGGAACAGAACAGAATGATTTATGATTTGTAATGGTTGAGACCAGTTAAACCATGACAATTTTCTTATGCGGAGAATCCACTAGAAGCTTAGGAATGTGCACAGATACCCAAAATGAAATGACATTAAAATTTCATTTTCCTTTGAGAGAAATATCTTTTGCTTTTAACTTCTTTTTTAATAATGACTGCAACGACCCTGAACATTGACACCTTTTATTGCCATATTTATTACAAGTCCATCGTTTTGTCCCAAATTATAAAATTGCCCACATGTGCCATTTTGCTGAGGCATAAGAAAGGGTATAGTAGCTCTACATGGTACACTTAAATGCATGTCACTGATATGCATTGCCATCATGCATATACAATGCATGTCACTGATGTGCATTGCTATCATGCATATCCGATGCATGCCACTGATGTGCATTGCTATCATGCATATACGATGCATGTCACTGATGTGCATTGCTATCATGCATATACGATGCATGCCACTGATGTGCATTGCCATCATGCATATACAATGCATGTCACTGATGTGCATTGCTATCATGCATATACCATGCATGTCACTGATGTGCATTGCCATCATGCATATACGATGCATGCCACTGATGTGCATTGCTATCATGCATATACGATGCATGTCACTGATGTGCATTGCTATCATGCATATACGATGCATGCCACTGATGTGCATTGCCATCATGCATATACGATGCATGTCACTGATGTGCATTGCTATCATGCATATATGATGCATGACACTGATGTGCATTGCCATCATACATATATGATGTATGTCACTGATGTGCATTGCCATCATGCATATACGATGCATGTCACTGATGTGCATTGCCATCATGCATATACGATGCATGTCACTGATGTGCATTGCCATCATGCATATACGATGCATGCCACTGATGTGCATTAGATCATGCATATACAATGCATGTCACCAATATGCATTGCCATCATGCATGTACAATGCATGTCACCAATATGCATTGCCATCATGCATACACAATGCATCTACAAAAGCAATCCTAGAAGCGTTAGAGGGATAATAGCAACTTAAAATAGAAATAAAATCAGTATAATCCATAATTTTGATAAAAAGACGAAATAACATTTGCACCCAAAACAACAAATTCAGCACTAATAACAAATTCAAGAGCAGCCATAAACCTAAAGTTGATCATGCTCATTCAAAACATAGCTAGTAAATCAGTTTAGTTTAATCTACACATCCATGTACATGCTTGTAATACTGCATGTGTTCATATTAATGTAAATTAAGCCATTCTGAATATTCTATGCTTACTGCGGTGGGTCTGTAACACCTTCAGGAGTTCTAAAACAGTAAATACCCCCAGACATTTAGTCTATTGTTTGCAATACAGCGTCCAATTTTCACATAGGGTTTGATGCAATAATTGATGTAACCTTTATATATGAATAACTTCCGTATAAGATTAGTCAAAATAAAAGATGCAGACTACGGTAATTACATTTGGGAGCTCAATGTATTAATGTTCACCTCAACAAGTATCGAGTGAGGAGACGAACAGTCCAAATCTGGTCCAGCTTTTTTTATTACAGTAGTCTGCATCTTTATTTCAAAACAATATATTTTGATGTACATGTATATTACACTTACTTTGCACCTGGTTCTTCAGGTATTATTTTGTGTTGGGGGTCTTTTTTGACTAGAACGCTACCATCCATAGTGTAATCGAGGGTTACCATAGTAGGCCTTCCATTAACATACAGGTTGGATGTTTTGATATCAATGATATGTTCACTCTGAAATTGAAAGAAATTAGAAGATTAGAGAGGTAAACACCCCTCTAAAGGTTTGGCAACTGGAGGTCCACATTTGGATCACTTCTCTTCCTATCTGTTCATATTTGGCAATTTAGAAAAAATCACCAAATGCCAAACTTATGGAGGGGAGGGTTTTAAAATGCAACCATGTTGAAGATCCTAAATATTGAATATTATATCATATAGAGATTTGGACATGGCATGATAAAATGAAGTATTGATTATGAGTTGGCCAAACAACTGAGTATAAATTGATTGAAAAAATGTCAATGTCCTGATTCCTGTATAGTACTATTGCATCAGATTTACAGCTTAGAGCTGCATTAACTGCTGACATCCAGACAGACCAACAAACAAAGTACATGTGTCAATTAATATTGATGGGTCTGTCTGACTAAGGGATTGAGTCAATAAGTCAATTCTGGTATAAAAACGAAACAGGGTTTTGACCCCACTCCCAACCCACATCCCTAATTACGTCTTTTTCCAAATATCTTTTTTTACTCAATCTTGATTTGTCCCCCACTTACATTGTAATATATGTTTTTTGCTGGCACAGTTCCAGAGTCGAGGATTGCATCATAATTTCTATGATCAATTATAAGAATACCCCCAGGACGTAACATTGAGTAGAAGTTGCTGACTGCGATACGTTGATTCTTGAGTTCACCTAGAAAGCAATTACAGATTACAATTTTAAAAGTGCTTCTCGCATTTTGGGCATAAATAGGCAAAAATGAAGCCTAAAAATACCACAAAATAGTTATGAATTTGAAGGTGAAACAAATAGTTGAGTCGGTGGCTGGGAGAGGAGTTGCAAAGATTAATGAAAAACTAGCCTTACTTACCTGTGAAATCTGGTAAATGAGCAAATGAGTTTCCTAAACATATAACCGCATCAAAGCCTCCTTCTGGCAGGCCTTCCACTTCATCAAGGTCCTCGACCAAATTCAACCAATTGGCTTCCTCTATGACTGAAACATAAAATAAGTAGTAGATGAAGCTTCACCCTCTCTCACAAAAGGAAGCTTCATTTGCTTGCTGATGTGCATTGAGGATAGATGGGATCAACTTACTCCATTTATCAAATGCTGTCTCCTTCCTCCTGGCCCATCTCTCCTGAAGAGCATATTTCAACATCTTATCAGAGGCATCTGTACTGACCATCTTGAAGCCCTCCTCAAGTAACATGATGGAGTCCACCCTGGAAAGAAGAACGACTCTGTAGATGATCTAACTGATTAAAACATTGACTGACCAGTCATACAAGGTGTGGCATAAGTGATCAACATGGTTTTAGGTAATATTTTTAATATATTTTGAAACTTTTATATTGATATAATATTTATTATAAATTGAATAGATAATTTTATAAAAACAAACAAACATATTGATCATTCAACTCAATGATGATTTACCGATCAACCCATATTCTACCGACAAATTAATTAACTGACCAATCAACTCATTGATGAACTGATGAACCTACAAATAATCAAGCCACTGATGAACCTTCCAATCAAGCCAATGATGAACCTACCAATAAACCCAATGGTGAACCGACCAATCAACCCATTGGTGAACCTTTCAATCAACCCAATGATGAACCAACCTACTGATAAATCTACCAATCAACCAAATGATGAACCAGCTAATCAACCCACTTATGAACCAACCAATCAACCCATTGATGAACCTATCAATTAACCCACTGATGAACCTACCAATCAAAGCACTATGAACTTACCAGTCAACCCAACGATGGACCAACCAATCAACCCACTGATGAACCTATCAATTAACCCACTGATGAACCTACCAATCAAAGCACTATGAACTTACCAGTCAACCCAACGATGGACCAACCAATCAACCCACTGATGAACCTACCAATCAACTCGATGATGAACCAACCAATCAACCCACTGATGAATCAACCAATCAATCCAATAATGAACCAATCAACCAACCCACTGATGAATCTACAAATCAACCTCATGATGAACCAAACAAAAATCAACCATTTGATAAACTACCAGTTCAGACCATTAATGAACTGACCACTCATCTCATTGATTAAGTGAGCAATCAATTAAATAACAAACAACAAATCAACCCATTGATTGCATGAACTGGCCAACCAATCCATTCATGAACTGTCAAATTAACCAAGTGTTGATCTGACTAAACAACCAAAGGATTAACTGATCAATCAACCCACTGATGAACCAACCAGTCAATTCATAAATGAGTGGGAGACTCTTTCTCTGTCTATAGTCTTTGTTACATTGCCAAACTTATCTGTAAGACCTCATTCAGCATATGTCAGGAAATCTTACCCATTTCCACATGCCACGTCAAGGACGTTCTCGCAGCTTCTGCTTCTCAACATATTCCCAATCCATTCCTTGTATGCCCCTGTCCTGGAGTGCTTAGACCCGATGTAGAGCTCCCATACTTTAGCAGCCTTTCCATCAGCATACTGATCAGGCAATCCAGTCGCTGCTACTCCCAGAGATCGTGTCCTGTAGACGCTGTCTACTGCCTTCAAGCTGGTTCCCGCTTGTGCTGGTTCTGTCATGATGAACGATAAAGTATAAATACAATATGTATTCCTCCTTCAAACACCTTAATAATGTTTTGAAGCAGTATGTGTTTAATGACCTGTTATTCACAATACGTTGTATTATAATAACAACGCCTGAAATGACCTTGTACTAAATTGCTCTATCCTGCTAAAGTAATGAATTCCTTTGTGCATGTGCAACTTGACCCTAGTATTGCTGTTTTGATGATCAATACTTCCCGTATACTGATTGATAAAGATTTCGCATATGTTAGTGAGAGTGACTCTGTGTTGACTGTTAATGAGTCCAGTATAGATTTCATCATGTTTTGCTTTTTAGTAAACAATGTTCACTCTTGAGTACATTGTGAAATAGTTGCCTCCTTATGTGCAATCAAATAAATGTTTTTTATGATACTTAAAAACAAATGTGTCATTTACCAAACTAAAACATTCTCAAAAATATCTATGAATGTGTCATTTTATATTAGAGTATGCCAATTAATTGCGGGAATATGTGTATGCGTATTAACAATTTAAGCAAAAAATCGATTATGTCGATCAGATTCGATTTTCAAGATGCAAAGCGTAGATGTTTGTAACTTCTATTTGTGGATCAAATTACCAACATTTTCCTGGAATAATGTATAAACTTACTGAAATGAGCAAGGACGTTTTTTTAACAATATAGATTAGACTGAGTTGGAGAATGAGTCGATAGGTATACAAACAAGGTTGCGGAAATAATAAATGAATGTTTCAGGTGATTTATTACTTTTACAGGTGTTTGTCTTCGATCCGTCTATTACCCTGCGCGCAGAGACTAGTTATAAACTATTTTTTATAAAGTACTGATGGTGAAGCTCTCTAAGAAGTGAAGTCGAACGAATGCAAAGGGTATCCGTCTATTCGACTTCATTACATTGTTGGAACCAATCTTTCTCACAAGCTTTAATAGAATTTAAGATTAATAAATAAATTTAAGAGAATCAAAATGACTTTTATGACTGCATGTAATTATCAATTAAAATCCGTTGAATGTGTAATTTCTATCATTGCTCCAGTGGATGGTGGTCAAGATATACGTAAAACTAGATCTCCACAATCCACAAGCGTCTGAAAAGTGCATCGTACATAGCCAACGTCATTTTTATCTTGTTTATTACTAGTTTGTGATTACATTTAATTAGTTTTTTCAACAAGTACGAACTCTTAGACACTAACTTTTCAGATAACGTTTTTAAGATATATTTTTGATATGTAAGTGTTTCAGATGTTTACGAACAAAATTTTACAGAAAAATTACCAATGTTCCATTGACATATACCAATGTTAATAAACCTACGGTAAGTAAGTTACCAAGGCAGTTCCACTTACACAAGTTTTGCTGTACTCATCAACGTACGCGCTGATGACTGATAGTAAAAGACGTAACTATTAAAAATCTTACAGAAACGAAAATAAGGAACAATCACTGTTACTGTAACTGTTCTACTTTTCTGAAATACGAGGACTCTATAGTGACCATTCCAATTATTTGTAATAATCGAAAATTGAACATTTCATAATAATTCATTTATCTAAACCGATTGTTCTCATTTTAACGTTATCAGAAATGAAAATTCCAATTTAAAGTTCGAAGTGTCATAAGATCGAGCAACATAATCTCTAACATAAACTCTGACATTGAAACTCGCGTACAATCATGTGATATATATGAGTATATGTTATGTAATTGTTTATTTGACTTTTATAATAGTACACTCTCTTATGCAATTTTATTACTGGAGGTAATTTTTCATATCAAGCGATAGTTTAATCTATCAATTTACGTCAAAGAATCAAAGATCAAGTGAACATTTCTGTTTTTACAAATTGATTGTATGTGGAAGATCCATTAGGGGTCATTGTAGATTTAATGTCATACACAAAGGTCAGGGGTCGATATAGAGAAATCGCGCCTCCCAGACGATCCTCCCAACTACAAAACAACAATGTGAATGTCATCCAATGCCAAGGTCATATAAATTGTCAAATGTCAACCTATATACACGCCCGGTGATCGGAAGATGGGACGGAGGTGGGGGACAGCCAATTCCAGCTAGAAAATTCAAAAAATCTGGAAGATTAATTTTATTTCAAGAAAAGGTTTACTATTGAAAGGGAGGGAGAGGGGATGGAGAGGGTAGCAATGTGTATATAAGACATGATAAGATATGGTACTTGACTATAACTCTTTTAACTCTAAATTGCCCCATTTTTCATTCTTCAGAGGTGTAATATCCAGTTTTTTACTAAGTTACTCAGTTCATTTTTAAAACACAAGAATTCGTGTAAAGTTGTTTCACTTTATAGACATATTGCCCCCCCCCCCTCCGTCCCCTCCCTCCTCCACCCCAGTTTAATAATTTTCGATTATTTTCATATAACGTTTGGAAACTTATTTTATAAAGTCAGCAATGATGATTTAGTTATGATAACGTCACTTATAAGTAGTATTTGTTACAGGTCGTGAAGAACAAAACATTTGTGCGCGTTGGTGGCCTTGCAGTTTTTTTTAATAAATCTCATGTCTTAGAAGAATATCGGTTCAGAAATAATCCCAGAAGACCTAACATATTTTACCATACCGTGCACCTATTCATTAAGGAATTCAATGGTAACCTTTTTCTTGAAAAAATAAATCTTCTAGATTTTTTGAATTTTCCAGCAGAGATTGCCTACTCCACCCCCTCCGTCCCATTTTCCCGATCACTGGGGGTGATATGGGTATTTCATAGTTGTGTGATTCGAGCATTCCTTGGAGGTCAGTTGAGGACATGATATCCCAAGGTCCGTTGATAAAAATGTATATATAATTCATTCTGCAAATAAGAACAATTGGCCTATTAAAAAGGTCCATTTGAAGGTCAAGGTCATTACATTTGTGATATTTGAGAATCGCGATAAGAGGCTCGTTATTTCTGGTATTCAAAAGTCTTTGCCCATTTGTGATTTGTGTGATATGACGAGATTTATGATATGTGTTCGCGTTTTGCATACTACATTTTATATTTTTGATGCAACCTTATTTGATCTCCTTGAAATGCTACGTTTGGAATTTGTGATGATAGCGAACACATTTTAATTGTTAACTGTGAATATTGTTTGAAAATGTTTACCCCAAAAAAATTTACTAGAATAATTTATAAGTAAGACATTTGATAAGTTTGTTATTATCTAGCATTCAATAACATCTGTATATCAATTTGTTCGTTAAAGTAAATTCATCTTTTTCATTCATATATGTTTCATTAAATATTGACAAAATGCATCAAAAAAACAAAACTATATGTGCTGAAAACCATACCTGGTTGTTTACTGTCATTGTTTTTGTTGTGATCGGTCTGCATTGCGTTTAGTTTGGTTGTGCCGCTTTGTTGCCAAGTAAAACAAAAAGCGTTTATTATTCACAGCTTGCTTTCAATGTCACTCCCCTTGTTATACTGACGCGATTTTCTTGAGAAACAGTATAAAGGCTGTAGGTCGTATAAGATAAAATAATGATACCCTGGGTAGGAAACTTGATAAAAGAACCAGTACAAAACCAACATAGCAATCCAGTTGAAACTAGATTGTGTTATCTAATTTTCATATATGTTGTCTCCTGTTTTTGGCAGAGTAAATGTTTGTAGTAAAGTTTATCTAAGGAGAATGTTTGCGACCCTGAAATAAAGCTGTCATATGCACTTTCTGTCCTTATCTTGTGACATGTGCAGCCTCACTGTGATAGCGTAAGTCAGTTCTCGGTCAACGTGTTTGACCTAAAATCAAAAGAAAGAGAGAATGCAATTATTGTTTGAAAGATTTCAATTAAAATATATCGATTGTATCTCTTTTTAAATATAAGTTGATAGGAACCGTCCGGATAAGTCATAAAGTTCCGCAGTTTTCAAACACTGTGACATCCTCGGGTGCAATGTTTCATATCTTACCTTTCTGTGACACCACTGTGACAATGTTTTTATCACTTATATTATGGAATCATCTATATCTGCTCATCCTGTACTGCGACATTATCACCACTCTCGTGGTGTTTTAGTATCGCCAATATTTAGGCCTATGTATATGGTATAGGCCTATTGCCATCAGTGTATCCTGAGACTAACGTAGGTCTATCTCAAGTCTCGGGTATGTGTGTGGCATAGCATTTTCATTTTAGACCTAATGAATTCGCGACACCATTATCAAAAAACTCTTGGCATCTTTGACTCTTTTAGAGAATGTGTCTCATTTCTAAAAATACTCACATTTTCAAAAGTTGGCCCAACACCGCCAATTAGTACATTTACATGTAGGCCTAGTTTGATTTGAAAGAAGTTTCAAAAAAATGATGCCCCAGTCTTTCTCAAGGTCACATCTTTTTGGCCAATTGTGGTATGGTATCCTCGTTTGTCAGGCTGTCACTCCTGAAGCTCCTCGTTTGCTCGTCATATTCATCGTCAGTCGAGCCTCCATTTCCCTGTGATCCCACCCATGTGTCACATTCACCGTCTGATACATATAAACACTGATCTTTCTTTCCAGGCCTTGGAAACCATTGTCTCGAGGTTGCCATTCATTGTGAAAAACTCCATCGTTATGGAACGGAGAGAGTCTACTTAATCTACCAACCAACGATCTTGCCTACCTCGCAAAAGAGCCAGTAGAGTGACCATTAGTTATGTCACAATGATCACACGGACGAACTCAGGCTTGGACAACCAATGATAAATGCTGTTGAATTTTCTGCTTCAGTTTGGAAACAATAAATGTTTGGCGACACACGACCTCTCTTTGCCAATTGAAATGTACATTTCAAACGTTGAATGGTAATATGATACTTTACTCAACCATTAACACAATTATAACTTGGCACAACCAAAATATAAACACATTTCTATAACGTTACGCCACCTATCGGTGAACCCATCAATTTGACCTTGACATTCAACATGGCTTCCAATTAATCGAAAGTCCGAATTCGAAATTTTAACCAGCGATTGCTGGAAATACAGACATTTTGAAGAGAAGTTTGTACAAAATATCGAGAGTTCAGCTTGGGGAGTATCAACATGGCGAGTCACCAGCAACGCCATCCCGATAAGAAGGGTAAAAAAGGGGAGAAAAAGAAGGTGGGTTTGACCTCCATGATTTTTTGCAAAAAAACTTCAATTTTCATATTTGACATTTTCATTTGCATTTGGTGCACAGCTAAACTTTTATTTTCATAAAGCCCTGCTGTTTCAGTGGTTATTTCAGTGTATCTTTGATATACTATCTTGATAAATAAGTAGTCAACAAATGATGATGACCTGCAAAATTCCCAGGGATCTCAAAAATTAATTTTCTGTAGAATCTCCAACCAAATGTCAGTGTGTGAGCCTTCATATTTGGATGAATATAAGGGCCTATATGTATAAAAAGATACATTATGTTTTGCTTAGGATTGATGTTACATTTGATTTGATTTCAATGTATCTCACAACTCATCATTTTCATTTTTCAAGTTGGCTTCAAAAGGAAAGTGAATTGTCGAGCAAGTTACACATGTACATGTATATGTAAAGAGTGGGGTTTCCCCCATTGTTATTGAGGTCGTACTCTGTTTCATAATTGTTATTGGGTACCAAAGGTAAACAGATCATGGTTACCCCTACCTACCTAGGGACTTTCTCCGAAAAGGCTATGCTCAAACCCCATAAATGTGGGTTACAGTTACAGCTTGAGTAAATATTGAATAATAAAGTTAACAAGAGGATGAATTTAATATCCTATAAAAATATTCATCAGGTATTTCTAGTATAACATATTATATTAAATCCCCATATTTAGTTATAGAGTCTAGCCTGTAAATGTTCTTGTGGGGTTACTTTAACCATCTCATGAACTCTGTTAGTATCACTGTTCACTATCAGGTATGCATCAATATGGAATAACCAAACAAAGTACATGTACAGATTGTACTTAAATGTAACAAGATACAAAGGTGTGATTGGAACACGATTGCCACAATTTACCATTCAGTCCATTGCCTAATAGGCAAATGTTTCCCGAGCTCATTACCAAGAGTGAAAACTGGTTATTATAAGCAGCCAGGCAGTTGTGAGTTTCAAACACTGCATAGTAAACCTTTTCATGATCATACAGTTGGAAAATATTCTCATGAAATCTTGGAATTGAATAAACTGCTTGGCTAAATTGTTTTGAATGGGTTCGATAGTTCCTGTCATATCTTATATTTTTGCCTTCTTATTTCTTATTCCTTCATTTTTATCTTCATTTTCCATATTGTAAACATTATAACCGTTCAATGTATCTGAGGTATTTGCCAGAAAGTATGACCTCAGCAATGTAGCACCCATTAAATATTATTTTGAAACACCTCAACATAATATTTTGATTTGTTGCTTCTATTGTAGGTCTTCATCTAGTTTCATAAACTTTCGAAGGAAATACTGTAGCTTCAATCATTAGTACAACTGTACATGACCATGTACATGTTTTTATACAAATGTATAATAAAAAAATGCATATAAAGTACAGCACATTGTACATTTAGCTTGGCCATTTGAGAAAAGGAAATTTTAAACTCAGACATTCCTTATAGGAATTTTTTCCTATTGATTGATGTATCTATTTATCCTGTTTGTGTCATTTGTAAGGACGTCTCTAGTTACTCTACAACTATCAACATTTATACAACAAATCCCGATGCCATTCTCTGAACTTGGTATTTATGTATTATGATATAGAAACTATTAAATAGAGAATAGTACTCTATTATTACTCTTATTTCATTTGATCTCATTAACTAATCAAAGTGCTTGGGTTTGAAATGTTAATGGAGATGCCATTGGCTTTCTTGTTATTTAAAAGTAAAATATTTCTCTAACATAACTTGTACAATGTTTCTAATTGGAAAACATTACTTTTATTGCAGAAACAAACAGTGGAGTGGGTCAGTTTTTTTTACATATTATATGGCTTTTTATTTTTCTTGTGAAATTTTCACTGAATTATCTTTTCAAGATCCCACTTTCCAATTACATGAACCACCTCCTTCCCTTCTTTAACTTTAATAACTTCATTTAACCAATATACATAAAGAAATGTTTGAGTAAACTAAACTAAGTCAACACTTTTTCCTTGTATGCTATTTACTTAGCACATCTTGGTTTATTTGCATATTCTGTGAACATGTATGTATTATGCTAATGTTAGGGATAACCGACTTATATATGCACAATTGTCTGGTAACATTAGTCTTGTATTAAGACCCCATATTTCCTCTATTGAGTGGTAGTCAAACAGCTTGAAGCAAGACTACAGTAACAAATACAATTCCTCTTTCTTCAACTTTAACTAAAAGGGGATGATATTAGGCCAAAGTAGTTTGACAAAAGAAAGTTTTATGTCACCACCAAAAGTGGTGATAAATTGTCATCATCTCCACCTTTTTTGCAGGGGCATTTGGTGTCTGGCGTTTGGTGTCTGTAACAAATTCTTCCAACTTCCAATAACTTAAGAAGTACTGTTTAGACTTCAAAATTTTCAAAATCATCTACAAGTTCTCAGAAGTTCGTTCAAATATAGGTCAAAAATGTCTTTTTTCAACTTGCTTCAAATTGACCAGATCTTTTTTCAAAATCATCTACAAGAGAGATTTGACCTTCACTGATCTTCTCAAGGTCAAAAAGTTTATTTCAATTTGCTTCAAATTCAAATTGACCAACTTTTTTTCAAAATTATCTACAAGTTCTCAGAAGTTCAAATGACTTTAGATTTGAACTCACAATATTTGTTCAAGCAACTAGGTGGTACCAATTTGTAAATAAAAATTTTAAAAAGTAAAATCATGAAGAACTTGAATTTAAAAATGAATAATGATTTTGAAAGCTTTAGTTGGGGGTATTCCTGTGTTTAGAGATGTTCCTAAGTACCCTCCTCACAGAACAATTTTTATTTATTTCACAATCCATTTGCAGCATGATCAAATACGCTGAAATGACGCTAATTCACCATTTGCCAAATTATGATACCATTTCATGTGTCAAACTAACCCCAATTACTCCACGATGTTGCCTATCTGTGATAGAATGATATTAGAATCAACATATTTAGCAAGTAAACCCAGACCAATTCATCACAAATTCATCACAGACAAACATGTAACAGTAAATCTACCATTGAAAAAGAGAATGTTATTCCTCTGATACATTTCTCTACTTTCAGAATTCAGTTTCTTCTATCTACATGTAATTTGCATCTCCTTCTCCTCAGATTTTCGTTCCTATGGCATTGCCATGGCAATGGTTTGTTACACTTTTATAATTGCTCATTTATACCGAATCAAGGGATTCATATTTATGACAAGGATTTTCATGAAACAGGCCATTATTTTTGTATTAATCCATAAAATACTGCTGTACAATAGTAATAGTATTTTGTCTGTCGCTGTAGCTAATTGGTTCTCTATCATATTGTTTGTATTATTACGAGTTATAAATTTCGGTTACGGATCAATTTATCAAATTCACCATTGATTATGCAATATGAAGTTACTACTTTCTAGTGGTATATTTGTATCAAATAGTTATTAAAAATCATAAATCTTAATGTAGCTTGATTGAATTTATAGGTTATATGAAGGAAAATTTTCATATGAAAATAAAGGAAAAAGTAAAAAACATTTGACATTGTGATATATTAAAGAGGCACTATGCTATAGGATAGCACAATCAAGACCCCTCTGGACTTTTTTGCATATTGAGTTTCACCACATATTCACCCATCTACTTACCAAAGAAGAAGTCCCAAATCGCCTTTTTTCAGTGTAAATTTTTGCGATTGTGCTGGCCGATCTAATTATTTTCGCAGAACTTAATTCAATCTGAAGTTTGAATATACCGGGAAAGTCCTCCTGTTATTTGATTGGTCGTTGGATTTGTTTATCATGAACCTGATTAGCTGCCTGGTTCAAGGCGCTTGTGGGCGGTTGTGTGACTCAATGGGGATTCCCCTCGCTAGCCGAGGAATCGATTGTGTTTAATTCTGGAGGTTGGTTGTTCTGTTGATTATTTCAATATTTCGGCAATAATATGCCCAAAAGTTATTCTCAAGATATATCCATGGTATGTTAGATATTATATGAGCAAGAACAATAGGACATCATTGATTGTCTGGGGGAGAAACCTTTGGTATAATGCACCTTTAACTGTTTTGTTTTCTGCAAGCAAGAGTATTACATAGACACACTGAAGCAGCAGCATTCTCTTTGGACATGTTCTTCAATTGTTATTTGAAATGAGATAAACACACGCTAAAGGATTGGTGTTAATGTATCGAGTTATTGTATCACATCTTCTTGTATCGGACACTGGGTATGTTTTGTATAACAAGTGATTTGCGTTAATAATTTATGATTCCAATGTCATGGAGACAATTTATGCTTTCTGTTATAATTTGAAATGGATGTTATGTCTTTATAGTTAGAATTTCATGATGCATCAGTTCTCTGAGTTTCTTGCCCTAACAGGTCTCAAACATAGGGTTGGGAATAGGGGGAGTAGGGTATGCAAGACATTCTTGTAGAAGAAGTAAAACATACTTTAATAAAACTGCTTGTACATAGACAGAATACCAGTTAACTCCGATGTGACACTCCTAATGTTAAGCCTATGGGCAAACTTTAAAGGCTGTGGGGGACCCCTAAAAGTTGACTAAAAAATTTGAAAAAAATCACAGGTGATATTTACCCCAAAATGCAACTCGATTCATGTAGGGAGCATAATATTTCCCAAAAAAAATTATTTTGAGCCACCATTTAGGTGGTAGTTATGGGGGGAGGGGTGTTGCAAGTTTTGGAATCAAAAGCTGTTGAACCCCATCCCTTCTTGATAAATTTTAGAAGGTGAAGCATTAGAATTAGCATGTCATGAATTAGTCATTATCACTTCATTTGATTCATGTTTTCATATCTATCCATTATTTATCCTCTCAAATTATACAAGTATCCAAAAATAATATTCTCAAAATAATTGTTATGTAGCAAAGTATGTTTCAGGTTAATTTAAAACCGTGGCAGATTTTATGAAAAATAGCCTTTAATATACGTATCCATTATTTTTATGACCATAGTTTGGCATTTTGTATTTGGCATGAAACAAATGGTTACGGTTCTGAAAATCGCAATCAGGTAGTGAGATTTTGTTATGTAAATGGCTCATTAATCTTTCTATGATGTGAACGTGCATTATTGATTCCACACTACGATTCTATCATAAATGTACAATAAATTCCTCATTGTAATATACACTATAATGTACTAACAACTCTTAGCTACAATTCTTACTAATATACTACTAATTCTATGGCACATGCAAAAAAATATATAGTATGAATTAACATTATATTTTTATACTATATGTTATAACAATTTACACTATATTTTCTACACTATTATGTAATGAGATTCTCCTCTCATTCTACACTACATGTTCTAACAATATACACTTTATTCTCTATACTAATCTTAAAAATTCTACTCTCGCTCTACATACAATGTATAAGTTTTTTCTGCCCTACATGTTACAAAAATCTCCGCAATATATGCTATATATAATAGCGATACATATAACACTACATAAACTATTCAGCATTCTTCTGTTTCAGGCGATGAGTCAGGTGAACGTTGACAAGAAACTACCAAAGGTGCTCAATTATCTGCTGTATAAAGGTGGCGCTACAGAAAAAAGCATAACCGTCTATGAAGGTATGTTCCATAAAGGATGATATTCCATGGTGTCAAATTTTTTGTAGCAAAATTGTTTCTAAAGAAATTTCAATCCCTCAAAGAAAATTTTCTTTTTCCTAATTATTTTTTTTTTTGATATCTACCCATGAATATGAATGGGATATTTTCAAAACAAAAGGACATTCCTTTACAGCTAGGATACAGATAAATGTATTCATATACCCTACTTACAGGTATATGCAGATGAATAATTTGTATTCTAAATGAAAGCTGTAATTCTTGTACATTGTTTTTTGTTATTCATACCTTATTCATTACCTGCATTAAGCAGTATTTATGCCCATTCATTCGACTTCTCATTACTGGAGCTGTTAATGTATACTGCAATTAAGCATGGCATATTTTCATTACTACATGTATCTAGAACTATTGGTCTTTGAATCAGGATTTGGCTGAGGAGCATAGCATCCATGATTACCTTTGTTATCAGATGTCTTAATTTGAATACCTAACATTATGAACACCTTTCGCTGAACACAGGTTTTATATAATGTAATTGACCATTTTTAGAACATCTTTGTACACTAAACTCGAATAGGTTGTAGTGAATACTAAGTATGCAAAGATTCTTAATGTAATCCAACATGTTGTTGTTGTCATGATTTTGGTAACCAGTAATTAATGAAATAGGTGAAATTTTCACATTTTTATTATTTGATGATGACATTTCATTAATTTTTGGTTCTCAGCCCGACTTGTGAAAGCACAGAAGTACCTTCAGAAAATATAACGATAAATGAAAAGTTTTGTCGTCATGTTTCAGATGGTGGGGTTCCCATCAGTGATATTCTAGCTCTACCACAATACGGTGATCTCTATACTGAAGAAGATATTATTAGAGTTGTTAAGCAAGATGAGGACCATTCGTTCAAAGTTGACCACAATCCATCCACGAAGCGCCTTGTTGTTCGGCCAACAGAAGTTGTGGTGCAAGAGGTATGTTGATACGTTCTTAAAATATCAGTTGTTTAGTTGAAGTCATTCAGAGATTTTCGTCATCTATTGAGCTGTTGAAACCTGTGTGGGGGGCTGCAGTACTATGTAGCGCCCTATATGATAACAATTCAACATGTTACTAATTCAACATTGGAACTGGTTCATGTTTTTGTGTTGAAATTACCGATTTGCATTTGGTAACTAACCAATCAGTGGACCAAAGTGCAGTTTAATCAAACCCATTTTACTCATTTGCATTATTTTCAGCCCAAATCTGAAAGCCAAATGCCAGTTGTAAACAGCAGCAACTCTATAGCAGCAAACAGTCACCATAACAACATAACAACAACACATCAGCAGCAACAACAAAAGCAGCAGCAACAACAGCAACAGCAACAATTCCACAGTGCAGTACAAACTAATAATCTCCAGAAGAATAATTCATTGTTCATCCCAATATCACCTGGTGTCCAGCAACTTCTTAAAGAAGAGGCTAGGAAAGAAGAAAAAACTATGGAGAGACCAAAGAAAGTGCCCATCAGTATAAAGCCTAATAAGGTATGATTTCAATATAAAGGTTCCTTATATGGTATAAGGATGTTCATATTTCCATTATTTGATATATCTGTGAGCATGGGAATATCACTCCACATATCACATGTAGTTTCATCCACACATGATCTAGGTGTGTTGTGTTCACTATCTATTTAGTCAATCTATAAATGTTGCTGTATTGGTCAATTATTATGCTGCCACCAGAAGTGGTGACACATTGTTATTGTCTCCAGCTTTTTTGTGGACAGTGTTTGGCATTTGGTGTTTGGCATTCGTTGTTTGGCATATGGTGTCTGTAACAAATTACAAGTTGTGACATTTTGCATGTTACTGCCTTGTATGTACATACATTAGCTTTTATTAATTAGGGTAAACCTGATTCATGTTGTTTATTTATTAGGGTGAACCTGATAAGAAGGTACAAAAACTTGTCAAAACTCTGGACTTCCTGTTGTGTAGGGGTGGGGCAGAATCTAAAGGTCTTTCTCTTGATGATGGTAAGTTGAGTTATACTACAGTACCAGTGAACAGAAGAGGAGGAAATACCTACTTTTGTATTTCATGTGATTGGTTAGATGTAAGAGGTTTAGATGTGAAGATACATGAAATAAGGCTGTATTTTAATGCATTTGTAGGTACAAATCAAATACAGAATGTTTTTTTTCATTACATTTTGTCTAAAATGAAAATCAACTGGGGAATTTTGTTATCAACCTTGACATTTTTCTGTTTTACATGTCAAACTGCATATCAATATAAATTCATATCAGTCTAATGAATTTTGTTTGTTTTCTCCAATAGATGGCACATTACCTGTCGGTGACTTCCAGGCTCACGAGCAGTTCTCCTGCTATAAGATGGGCGACATCCACAATGCCGTGGCGTGCAGTAACAATGGTCTCATTCTAGAGAAAATCTCGCAAACAGGCCAAATTTTTCTACGTGCAGTAAACAACTCACTTCAACCAGCTCGGGAAAATGATGTAAGTCAAAAGTGTATTTTCGAAAATAGGTCATACAAAATAAACAAAAAAATTATAGGAAAATGCAATCATCATGCATGGTAACCAAAAATTCTGTATTTGACTTTTATTGGATAGTCATCCCTATTTACACATGTAATACTTTTCCATGGATATATAAATTAGTTTTCATGTAAGTCTGTTGTTATATACCATTATACATATTTCATTGTATTTAAGTAATGATTGTACTTATTTCATTGTACTTAAGGCTGAAGAGTCAGAGAATGGCTTACTCCCGAGTCCTAGTCCTCTCACATCTCCTCGCTCAGATATTAGCGATGATACAGAATCTGAACACAGTGATCACCACACATCTCGCAGGAAGAAAAAGGTGAATATGAGCTATGAATGATATTAATAGAAGTCTTTAGAAACTTTAGAAAATAAAGGTTTCCTTTTGTGGTATAATGCTTCTATAGCATCAGTTAAAGTTAAAAGAGCACAACTCTTGCAAGAGTATATAAGAAAAGAAGGGCAAACTGGCATGTTTTCCTTAAGAAATTCGATATTTATTTTTGAAATAAGAGTGTCCCATTTTTTGGACCACCCTGTAGTACTATGTGTCCAAAAATGCCCTTTTATTTCAGAACAAAGCTTATGAAGCACGCAGTGAATCAAATAAGAGTGATGATTATGGAAACAATGCCTTGTTATTTCAGAACAAAGCTTATGAGGCACGCAGTGAATCAGATCAGAGTGATGATTATGGAAATAACTATAAGCATCAGCAGCAATCAGAATTAGTGCCAGACACCCCCCTCTCAGACCAAAGCAGTACAGATAACCAACCTACTCCTCAGAAAAAGAAAAAGAAGGAAAAGGTATGACTATTATTATAAGCTCATTGTCATGTTTCTCAGTCTGTGATTGGTTGAGCACAGGTCATGTGACATCAACTATTCAATGATAATCCTCTACGATGCTTACTACCTTTACTATTTAGGAGCTTGGGGTAATATCACATGTGAAAAGTTTACTTGTATTTCCCTCAATAGAATGAATTGTATAATTTCTCAAAACATTATGGGAATAAGATAATGGCCAACATGTACAAGCACAAAAATGATGGGTAATCCCAATAAGCAATGTTTGAATGTCAGTCATATTAAATATCATATATTTAATTCTCATTTTGTTTGTTCTTAGGTTGATCCTGATGTCAAACTTCCCAAGATTCTCAACTTTCTATTCTACAAGGATGGAATATCAGAAAAGAATTTCAAACTCAACCAAGGTGAGACTAAGATATCATTTAGTCCAAGTTAATATCATTTAGTTAATACCTACTTAGTTTCACAGTTAATTATGAATATTTATTAATCACTTTGAGTTCTGAAATTAAATGGATATACTGATGCATAAATCATGAAATGAATTAGATAAATAATTTTTTATAACATTTTTATTTATAGAAGACTAGATTCAAAAGATTTTTGTTTTGTTTTTCAGATGGATTCGTAAGTGCGAACGATATCTTAGAATGCTACTCTGACTTTACACTCCAAGATCTTAAACGGGTGATCTCAGCTGATTCTGGCGAGAACTACATCACGTTGACCGACTCATTCACTCAGACTCTCCTGCTGAAGGCTGCTAGGGACCCACCTCCTAAACCTTCTGACAACGATATGGGGTACTGGGAGGATCCCTCCTCCCCCACCTCAAGTAATGGTGCTAAAGGGTTCCCTGGAGGCATCCCAGATAAAATGGACCACTGGGATGGTAAAGACAAAGCAGGTAGCGTGAACGGAAACAGTCAGAGTAGTGATGCAGATTTTGGCCAATGGGAAAGCGGAGAGGGTGGGAGCTCATATAAAGGTTATGGGAGGCAGCGTAGTCGGGAAGCTTATAAAGATAACCGCTACAGGGACCCACGAAAGGTAAGGAAAATGGAACTAGGCTTGTGTTGAACAATCCCTATGAACTGAATAAATAAGGATGAGCTGTAATATTTTTGTTTCGTATTTCTTACAATGTTTCATATATTTCAGGACACATCTTGGAGGAAACTGCTGAGCACGTTACATTGGGTGTTGACAAAAGGTGGTGCTGAAAAACTAGGGATAACTGTTTATGAAGGTATGTATGTATTCAGTACTGTCAGAGAATATTTTCATGTCTCTTTTAAACCACATGTGCTGAAGCAATGTCACATGTAAGTTATAGTGAGGCAACATTATTGTTGTAAATATTGAACTTGCTTTACCCCTTGGCATGGTCAATGGTAAGCTAGGTCATGTGTGATCTTTATTGACAACCCTAAGAGTTAAAAAATAATTTTACCCAGTCTTTGATCCTTTCTAAGATAAGTGGGGATTTTCTATTGACATTGGCAAATCAGATTTTGATTATCAAATTTTACCCACAGTTTACAATTCATGTATTTAAACGTAATGTATTAATGAAAAAGCATTTACATAATATACATATAACTTTATTATATGTTCTACATATTTTTGTCACTTAGATGGTTCTGCCTACGTACATGAGATTCTAGCGCTCTGTCGCGACCTCCAGGGTTTTACAATTGAAGATGTCAAATATGCCATAGCCAATGATGAGCGTCAAAGCTTTGATTGGGATCTCTATTCTGGGGACAAGAAGCCCATTGTATGGGCAAAGGCTCAAAAGAAACGGGTAAGTGGAAATCTAAATTGGAGAACTAAAGAAACATAATTAGTTTGGTTTTAGTCATAGGCAGTACACCATTGTATATTATATTAATATATGTAAGAGATGGTACCAAGAAATTTTATAATTTTGATAAAATGCCAAAAATACTTGCTGAATACTTTCATTTTTTTCAAACCAACATTCTGCATCTTTTCGACACTAGAAATTAGCCCTGATGCAGCACAAAATTGTTTTTGCGAGTGTTAACGACATGGTGATGAAATGGTATTGTACACCAAAATTTTTGATGCAATTTGAATTATTTTGGCAGTACATAGATGTAATTCTTAATTTTTCAATTTAGGATGATGTATCCATTTCCAAATCATTATCCTGGCTGCTAAGACATGGTGCTGAAAAGATGGGCTTTCAATTATCTGAAGGTAACGCTTTAAATCACTATAGTATAGTCTGATTTGTCAGCAGTTACCCAAGTACAAGTACAAGTTGATTGGCCACTTCTAGTCATAACAAGTCAGTCAGGAAGGTGTAAGGTCAGGCAGATTATATGGGTCACAAGAATGTCAGGTTTGGAAAAGGCCAATGACAATCAGTTAATCTCAAAAATTGGTCTTTTTAAATTACTTTTTTTGAAAATAGTCCTATGATAATATATAATCTACTTCTGCCAAGGTCAAAATTATTAAACATTTTGGATACTTGTTATATCATCAGATTTGTTCTAATATATCCTCATTTGTAGGCGGATTCTTGTACATAGATGACATTCTTACAACTGAAAAATTCCTGGGAGTTAGTGAAGAAGACATTGTGCGAGTGGTTGAGTCTAACGACAAACAAAGATTCGCAATTCAAAAGCATCCCAAAAACGGCAAGCTGCAAATCCGAGCAAATCAGGGCCATACTTTAGAGGTAATGTGTACACCTTAACATTTTAAATTGGAGATTCTATAACTTTCATAGGCTTAATATCTTACTGTAATACATCTTTCCTTCTCAGTTCTATTTAAGTTCAAGCTCAAAACCTTGTTATATTGCAAAAATACCTTGTGTTCTTTACCTCACAATTAAACCACATTAGTATATGTCTATTGTAATAAATTGAAGTGACATTTTGAATAGTTGGAAATATTATATACCATATACAGTTGATAGATAATTAAGTATCATTTAATCAAATTTTTAAAAATCTGAAATCAAATTTTCTTTTGTTATTTTCATTGCAATTCCTGTACATAAAAAAATAGCATATCATTTACATTTGCTATTAATTATTAGTTTTTATACATTGTAGTACAATTGTTCATGTGTCTATTTACAATTTAAGCTAGGATTGGTGTTTGCATTATTCACCAACGTGGCCATTAAATGTTATGTTGCAAAATCTTTCAAATCAAATGCTTCAATGTCCCCAATCTAAACGAAATCAAACGTCATCCCTTTTAAGATTTATATAAAGATAAGATTTATTTGTGTTACTGTTTTATCATTATTGTTAATTCTTGAACTTTAACCTCTTAATTCATGATTTTGTCTTTGAAAATGATGATATTGTTTAAAACCGTTGATAAATATTGCAGGAGGAGACTTAATAAAAATCCCCATATACGGTATGATCAGTTCATGACCAAATATGGTCAAGAAACACAAAACATTCAGTTATGTCCATTATAATTGCAGGTAGAAGGTTTGGATCTAAAGCCAATAGAGAATCCCTCCACTTATCCCACTGTTGTCCATGGAACTTACCTCAAGTCATGGGACAAAATAAAAACACAGGTAAATATTTGTTGATGGGCTTTTTCAATTATACACATTTTAATTTGGGAATATTGAGGTTTGCAATTTCAATATGTATCGTTTAATATATTCAGAAATACTGTATCTCATTTATTTGATCTAATGGTGCAAGAGTGTTTGTCTTTGGACCAATCAGAATTTATTATTTCATTCAATGTATGTACATTAAAACTTCTTCAATGCATTCTACAATTTGTTGTCTATAGATCTTGTTTTTGAAAAATCAAAAATTGTGGAGAATTTAAACAGTCACAATGTCTAAATGGCAAAATATACAACTTACATGACTTACCAAAATGTATCTCCCTCTGTAGGGCTTAAGCCGTATGTCCCGCCAACACATCCATTTAGCTCCAGGGGAGCCCAGTGACTCCGGTGTAATTAGTGGCATGCGAGGGAGCTGTGACCTTCTCATATTTATTGATCTACATAAAGCCATGTCAGGTGAGGAATTGGTGTTCATCCCTTGTACTTTCCTGACCCTCTCTATGCATTAATCTGGGGACAACCTTTCTTTTACTCAAATAACTTTACATACCCCTCCTCAGCTCAGTTTGAATCATTTCGTTTTACTGTACATGTGTTTAACATCTATGTCTTCTCTTTTATTCCAGATGGGTTGAAATTCCACCTGTCTGCAAACAATGTGATACTAAGCTCTGGCGATAAGCAAGGGTACCTCAGGCCCAAGTATTTCAAAGATGTCCTCAACAGGAAGACAAGTAAGTGATAAGCAAGGGTACTTCAGGCCCAAGTATTTCAAAGATGTCCTCAACAGGAAGACAAGTAAGTGATAAGCAAGGGTACTTCAGGCCCAAGTATTTCAAAGATGTCCTCAACAGGAAGACAAGTAAGTGATAAGCAAGGGTACTTCAGGCCCAAGTATTTCAAAGATGTCCTCAACAGGAAGACAAGTAAGTGATAAGCAAGGGTACCTCAGGCCCAAGTATTTCAAAGATGTCCTTAACAGGAAGACAAGTAAGTGATAAGCAAGGGTACCTCAGGCCCAAGTATTTCAAAGATGTCCTTAACAGGAAGACAAGTAAGTGATAAGCAAGGGTACTTCAGGCCCAAGTATTTCAAAGATGTCCTCAACAGGAAGACAAGTAAGTGATAAGCAAGGGTACCTCAGGCCCAAGTATTTCAAAGATGTCCTTAACAGGAAGACAAGTAAGTGATTAGCAAGGGTACTTCAGGCCCAAGTATTTCAAAGATTTTCTCAACAGGAAGACAAGTAAGTGATAAGCAAGGGTACCTCAGGCCCAAGTATTTCAAAGATGTTCTCAACAGGAAGACAAGTAAGTGATAAGCAAGGGTACCTCAGGCCCAAGTATTTCAAAGATGTCCTCAACAGGAAGACAAGTAAGTGACACTTGTCCTTCAAGGGCCCTGAAATAAATGCCTAGTTGGCTTATTAATGAGAAACTTCGGTATATGTTCATAAATCCATTTAATTCATGTAGTTAGTACATGTAATCTGGAATCAAGTTTCGACAATGTCAGGAATTCATTTGGCGAAAGGAAAAACTTATCATAATTAGTACCGATATTTAAAGATTTATTGCTGCCCAACTGAGTTCATAACTGTAATCTTAAAATTCTTATTTTTCAGGGCAAAGAATTCCATGGAAATAGTGTGCCGATGTAGCCAAGTATTGCAACGCTGCAGGGTGATTCCAATGAAGATATTCATGCAATTACATTAGAGTGCCCATCAGACAGTCTCAATGAAGTCATGCCATTTCAGGTTTTATTCAAGGAAAAAATGAGTAATGTTTGAAAGCCATTCAGTTCTAACTCAAGATGATGTTTGAAGAGTTCATGGTTAGATATACTGAAACCTAGATTGAGTTTCATGGTTTTCCTTACTTTCTGGTTTTATATGTGAAATCGCATGACAAATTGGGATATGTGTGTTTGGATACATACAGTACAGCTCAATATTACACTAACACCAGTGCTGGAGAGACATTAGGATATGCATGCCTATACCTCGTGCGAAGTTTATTTAAACTGGTACTGTGGCTGGGAAACAGGCAGCCCTTTCCAAGACAAAAAAGTCATTGTTTACAAGGAATGTATCACTTTCCCATGATTCTCATCTTGGAGTTGGATATACAGATCGTCCATGTTCAATATTATATCCTTCATGTTCCGAACTTATGAAGGGCATCCAAGGAAACAGCTTTGAGGTCTGCATCTTTTAAACATGCTCATTTGGTCAAGTTTTCTTGATGATTATTCAAATTGTTACTGGAATCAGTAATCTCTCAAGCATAAGATCAAGTGGGTGCTTAAAATTACTGGCAATTTCATTGAAAATCCCCTAGTCATGTAATATTGAGGTACTTTGACAAAAACAGAAAATATTGCGATTCAACTTTCTGTTGAGAAAAAATCTTGTCCAATTGGGAAATGTTGTTTGGGTGATGATCCTCTCTAGTGAAAAACTGTAATCCTTGTACAGAATTAATACCAATGCCAATTGTATTTATACTGTAATTTGGGGTTTTCACCATTGTTTGACATTGACAACTTTCTTGATTTGCTGTAAGATGACATTGTGAACTTATAAGTAACAGACTTTTGGATGTCCTCAAACAAAATTGCTGATATCCCATATAAAGGTGTCAAGTGTCTATTTTGGAGTGTTGTTGAGTACTCAGACCTTTGAAGTCCTAAAATTGAAATAAAATGCAATGTGATTTTACCATATATGGATAAATTACAATCTAAGGCATTTACTCAAGAAATTCCTCAACTCATGTGATCCTACATGGACCTGTTACCTGATTGGTCATTTTTTCTTGGAGTTGTGCATTGAACTGGGTTATGATTGGAGCACTGATCGCTGTATCCATGGTGATGTGAGCACTTTGCAATGTAGTGATTGGATACAGCTACATAATACTGACATCTGACATATAATGCAATGCTTATTTGTGGATACATATTCGTTTATGTACCGTGTACTCTGTACTTATTTGATTCTTGATTGTGTTAAAGTCAATATTTTGGGGATTTCTGGAGTTAGTACATTGTATACTATAAAACATGATTGAACTCTCAATTGTTTTGGAACAATCCTCGTATGGAATGACGCACAGGTTGATGTTCATGTGAATGATACAGATCACTTTAGAAATGCTGAAATAGGCATCCAAACTGAGAAGTGAGAAACATCCCATTTATATAACATATAATTGAATAATATATTGTTACCAAGTCCGAGTTGTTATATGATTTGTCGTAGTTCTTCTAATGTTGTGCTATTTTTATTTTTAAATAATGAATGTTTTGAATACATATACACCAAAATGGTGGAATTATTTATATATTAAGAACCATTGTTGAGGTTCAGTCTTAGTCAGGAGCGATATTTTAATTTAATCTTCACAATGCATGTTGCGAAAATAAAAAGCATCAATTAATTGTCTTTGACGTAAGTTGTTGAATGAAAAGTTCAATAAAAACTATATGCTTGATCTGAGTATTTGAACAATTCAAGAAATGTCGAATAAATCTGAAGCAATGGTTAAGTCCCATCTTGGGCTCCCAACCCGAATTCTTGCCTGTTCAACAGGGGTACATCCTGATTGAACGCACAGAGCTTAAGTAATCAGATTTATCTGGATATTTCTTGGTGACTCCAAGGAAATTTCACAACAGTTACATCATAAACATCTCTCGCATTTACGAAGGCTTGGATATAGTATATCTGATATCTATTAAGGTGGGCTGTATACACACAAGTTTGTATCATAACAACATGCACAAAATGAAAGACGAGGGCCACCTTAATTATGCTTTGCTATTATTAAGACCTGTGACTGTTGTGAAATGGTTTGAAATGGAGAACTTCACATAGTGTTGTTGTGTGAATCATTCAGTCAATAAAATAGTGAACTCTATTGAATGTGTTAAATATAAAAATGTGTTTTGTTTAATGTTTCTTTTAAAGTGCATTTATTACATTCTACTAATTATATAAAGATTTGATTTAAAATCTATCCTTAAATATTTTGAGTTCACAACGATAGAAGACTTGCAACATGAATATGCTTTGATATAAACCTTCTCTGTAATTATAGAATTTCAATTTTGAAATTGATATAATGCTAAAGGAGTGGTATCGATATGAAGAACTTTTTGAACACACTTTCTCTTAAATCAGTCATAAAAAATTTAACACATCGTCAATTTAATGGTCATCTTTTGAATGGTAACAATTTAATTTGAAAAATATATATATACTTTCATCTATATTGTTTTAGAAAACACATCGAACACTTGTTTTGTTCTTGGTATAATGTTTCCAAAGTGAAATGAAACATCTTTCCGAACCTCATTGGAACAAAACGACATAAACACAACATGTTTAGGTCTCTCAATATTGTAATTGTACAAAGGAGATTTTGGTTGATTTTAAAAAAGTATCTTGTTAATGAAATAAAAAGTTTACCATGATTTTTATCTATTTTGGGGGGATTTTGTTTTAATTTTTTGAATACTTTTTTAAAATCAACCCAAAATTCCTTTGTATAACTATAATATTGAGAGGTCTAAAAACATGTTGTATATGCTATTTTGTTCCAACAAGGTTCGGAAAGACATTTTATTTCATTCTCAAGAATTGGTAGAAAGGAGCAAAAACAATTGCACTAAAAAACAAAAAATGTTAACAAAAACATTACATAAAATACCATGTTTTTTTACAGAATGTTTTCAATGATTAGTTTAAGAGAAAAACATTGTTGAATTCAGTTCTCCATATCGATACCACTCCTTTTCAGAATATAAAAGATTTGCAACAAAGTTTATTTGATGATGCACGTTTCAGATCATTAAATTAACGACATTTTGGGGTCATTTAGGATCACAATTCTGCCATTTTAAAGGTAAAACTTATCGGAGATGAGAAAAATTCTTGCAACATTTTCAAATAAGCAACACTCCTTTTAAGCTAAAAGATCCCTCAAATCACAAGTCTGAATATCAATAAGCATGGTCAATCTTCATCAGGATGAGTGATATGCAGATATTTGCTGAAAACAGAATATCAGTCCCTGTCATTCTTACTGAAGATAAAATGAAGTAAAGAAAGAAATATTTGCCAAGGCTCAACTCTGCTTAAGGAGATCCAGGAAGATTTTTGTCATGTGAACTGTGTATAATAAGTTACAGATTGACAGTAAGGTGAAGTTAAGTATGTTTAAAGAATCCTGAATAACAAAAACAGGCTTCTCTTTTTATCACTTTTTCAAAGTGCTGTACTATTATTTTACATAATGTTAGATACATTTCATATTACATGTTACATGTTAGATCATTATAATTCACTATTATATCATTATAATTCACTATTATATCATTATAAATTCTGACTGTCAGCTTGAGCAAAGATATACACTTTTGAGTAAATAACCATGGAATATAATATAAAAAATACTATTTCTAATTTCTATTTTTCTCTCGTTACACAACAAACACACCTGTCACCTGGTGAATTTCAACTACTAACTGATTTTTCAAAACTAAGGTGTCACACTAGACCATATACCTGGATTTTCCTGATTCTACGACATTTTGTAACATCCACTATTAGTTCATAACATGTGAGTCTCTACATAATATTAATTTCTATGTTATGTTAGTTCTCTATGCAACCGTTTCCATTTGTTTGACTTCGCTTCTTAACATAGAGCTCCTTCTTCGTTACTATTAGCTAACCTCTACGGTAAAGGTATTTCTATATATCGCTTTGTCCAGATTAACATAATAAAGAACACATGAAATGGTGCAATTATGAATGTATAAAAGATGTAATAAAAACAAAAGAATGTTATGTACTGAATAATTGTACATTTGAGTTATATAACCTTTACGTAGTTATCTAATATTATGCTACTTTCAGCTGCAACTGTGATTTGTTTTGAACACGGGTTTGTAAACCCAAAAATCTCAATACTTTTTAAACAACCCTTGTATGCATGTGTGGTTGTATACTGTAATTGATTTTCACAAATATTCCATTCTACTGAAGTGAATACACATGTTCAAATTTCCCTTCTTACATCATATTTTCAGCTGCCAGAAGGGCCAGAGAGAAAAGGTATTGTGTGATCAACCCAGAAGACAGTGGTCAAATGGTAAATAGGTAATACTGTAAAAAGAAGCCATTAAAGAGTATAATGTATGTATAATGTGCTTGTATACTTGTGCAGAAGGAACGTAATAGATATAAGGAAAGTTCCAATACTAAATATTACAATACTAATACTTAAGGTAGTTCCGCACCTTCTCAAAAATTGAAAAATCATTTTCTTTTTGAACTACTGTTCATACTTTAACATACAGTATATATTATTTCATATATTCATTGGCTGTGTAATGTGTATACATCCACATAAAATATGAAAATACCCTTTTCATTAATTATTGGTTATTCAAATCATGAAAATTACATAGAAATCCTCATCATACAGATCTATCTTACTTAATAGTATTTTCCTCTCACTCTTACATTATCAGTGTTAATATTCCTGAAGTTACTATAGTTACCACTAGTCTGACTTTTGCAGCATATCACAGGGATCAATATCGTTGACAAATATTACAATAGAAAAAATCAGGTCATATCCTGACTGTCATATCAAATACTGTGTAATGTGTAAGGCACTTTTTGTTAAGCGTAAAAGTGTATAAAGTACGAATGTCCAGGAGTCTTGAATAACATTATTTACCTGACAGTATCAGACTTTTCATGTATCAGCATCAAATATGAAAACATTCCAAGCATTAAAAATACTAATCCTTTTAATAAAAAAACATGAAAAAATGACCAATACATTATACAATTCATCAAAACACCTTTGCACCCCTTCAAGATCTATGAGATAATAACTGTATCTCGTATATTTGATATACTATTCGTATATTGATATACACATGTATGTGAAATTATAAGTGTGTATAGTTGCCGTTTCAGCAGTGATTCGTATTCCTAGACTGTGATTTTTCAGCAAACTAACGTGATTTCTCAGCAATCTCTTTTCTCATTATGCCTTTAAGAAGATGTTGTTAATAAGATCTTTTCCAACATCTGCAATGGTTTCCATGGTTACACCTGTTCGGCGCAATGCAAAGGCGCCACCTATAATAGCTGCATATACAGAACCCCAGAGGGTGTTCTTTAGAACCTGAAATAATAGAGAAAAGTCAATGGTCTGTACATAATAATGTAAAGAAGTTTGACGTTCTTATATACAGTGGACAGAAAGCAGTTACAAATCTGTAAAACAGGAAGTCAAAACTGAATGGTTACATGCCATGACTGAAACATGATTAAAACTCAAATTTGATTTTCTGAACTAAGGCCACATGCCAAAAGTGATACACCACATACCCTTTCAGATAATATAAAGCAATCAAATCATTAAAATTATCAAAAGAGTTCATCTTCTTACTTTGTCCTGCCATTGTCTATTGCTAATGCACTGGTGGTATCTTATACGTGTGAAGGAGACAGTTGTATAGAGAGGAACCCACGTGTTGGGCATCAACCAGTTCAGCATGTTGTCCACGTGCTTGCGGAGAAGGAACATTTTGCTGTTAACGGATTCCCTCATCTGTAAAATATTTTTTTGTGTTTTGTAAGTTTGTATTATATTTTTGGAGAATAGTTCAAAAATAATAACAGATCACAACAATGAGTATCATTTGTAAGTAATAAGAAATGTTGACTCATAATACATGAATTTTGTGAAAGCCTAGAACACACTCATTTCATTCATAGAATTCATTCAACCTGTCAACTTGAGATTTGAGGAAGTAAATTGTTGAATCATTATTTGTCAATTCACAAGTCAAAGTATAAGCTAAGAGCTTTAAAATATAATTTAAGAGTTTATATTTAATACACTAGTAGAGTAGAACCTGTGTAAGTGGAACACCATTGGGAGGCGTTCCACTTACAGAGGTGTACCACTTTGCAGGCTCTATAGTACTAATATATGTATCAGTCTCTTATGTGCAATGAGTTCTTACCTCAATATAGTTGTACATAGCAAGGTCACACATGGCTTTAGCATCTATATTCCTAGTGTCTGTATATTCTGGCAGGACCTTGGAGAAGTCATTCTTGTACTTTGTCATGATACCATCAAATACTAGGCAGTCTTCAAAGCCCTGTAGGAATATAATAAAATTATACTGTACATTTTTGTACATAATATGTAGAGATGCATGCAGAATCCCATGTATACCTGTACATTCATACAAATACCCAAGTTTGGTGTATCAGGAAGAAATTACTGTACACCAATATTGCCACTGGTTGAAATTATAATGCAAATCTTTTTTTAATAAGGTAAGGGTTAATTAAGGTGAGACTACTAGTATAACCTTTAGACAACAGTGTGCATGACAAAAGTATGAAACTCATTCTATTCTGCCTACCTTGATTTATTGATAACACCCATTTTATACATTTCTAAAGCACTTAAGAATTAGAAAATGACTGTAATGAAGTCCACATGTGATCCTAACTTACACAATTCATTCCTTGTCCATAGAAGGGCACCATAGCATGGGCGGCATCCCCCATTAACACTGCTTTGTCAGACACATGGTAAGGAGAACACTGGAATAGAGTGAAATTAGTTACAACATCTACAAACAAACAATAGATACAAGTAATATCATTTTAAAGCTCATCCAAAGTTACATTGAATTGCCAAGTATCATGGTTTAACTCCCAAATGGGAAAAAGTTACAGTCATTTTAAAAGTTAGTGTTTTGTCAAAATAAAGTTCAATTTTACACCACATTACTAGTCAATTTATCCCCCCTTGGCCATGTTAAAAGCAGCAATTATATTTAGATATGGCCTCAGAAGCCCATCAAATAGGGGTCTGGAATTTTATAACCCTCTTAAAACCTGTTAAGGCACTTTAGAAGAGTTTCCTTAGAGTTTCTACCCTCAACTTTCTCTTTTTCCAACTCAATATCCATCCGACCCTCAAAGAATCGCTGCTGTTAAGATGGCCCAGGAGAACACATTGACTAGTGATTTGGTGTAAAATTGAACTTAATTTTGACCAAACACTAAATTTTGAAATGCCTGTAATTTTTTCACATTTGAGAGTTGAACCATGATACTTGGTGAATCAATGTAACTTTGGATAAGCTTTAAAATGATATATGACACATACTATGACAACACTGGTATATGTCTGCCTAGGGGGGGCCCCATACTTTCGGGACACCCTGTATAACTGCAATGTGTACTATTATAAGTACTACAGCTTATCTTTCTACACATGTACACTTGTATAGTAAAACCTGTATACTCAAACAACCCTCTTATCTGAATAGCCTTTTGTGTCCAAGCTTTTTGCTGTCCATTTCTTATACCTCCAACAGAATTCCATGTTAACAAACTCAAAATGCTTGGCAAACCAACCACTTTTGGCTGGTCTCAGTGGTATTTAGATTGGACAGGTATTTCTAAAGACTATTTTAAAGCGATTTAAACCTACCTTAATAGAGACTAGGGGTAATGCCTTCACTCTGAAGTAGGATTCTTTCAGGGCTTCTCTGGAATCAAAATTAAGGTAATTTTATGTAGATGTAGTAAGTTCATGTACATGAGACATATATCACTCTTGGAACTCAATGGTAAACGTAATACAAGCACTCATTATAAAAGGCCTTTACAATTCACATTTAGATTACAAGAACACAAATGTGTACAAAATGTCCCCACCTATGGGTGATCCCGCCAAATGGTTATCCTAAAAATGAGTAGACAAAGCTTTACCGACACAATTTGAGGACGGAATATCCAAAATGGCCACCTTAAAATTTACCCAGAATACCAAAAAGATTTTCATACTAAAAACCACCCCTGAAAATTTGAAATTGATCCGTCACACAGTTAACCAGAAAACATGTAGACAAGACTTTACAAACAAGATTTTAGGATGGAAAATCCAAAATGGCTGCCTTGACATTTATCCAGAATGCCAAAAAACTAATCTCTTCAAGATTTTCATACTAGGAATCATCCCTGAAAATTTGAAATTGATCTACCAAACGGTTCAACTGGAAATGCGTAGACAAGACTTTACAGACAAGATTTTAGGACAGAAAATCCAAAATGGCTGCCTTGACATTTACCCAGAATGCCAAAAAACTAATCAGATCTAGATTTTCATACTAAGAATCATCCCTGAAAATTTGAAATTGATCTACCACAAGGTTCACCTAATAACGCGTAGACAAGACTTGACGGGCAAGATTTTAAGATGGAAAATCCAAAATGGCTGCCTTGACATTTATCCAGAATACCCAAAACTAATCAGATCTAGATTTTCATACTAAGAATCATCCCTGAAAATTTGAAATTGATCTACCAAACGGTTCACCTGAAAACGCGTAGACAAGACTTTACAGACAAGATTTTAGGACGGAAAAATCCAAAATGGCCGACAATAAAAAAGTGATAATGAGTTTTTGCTGATTTCTTTTTACAAAATTATCACATATAACTACTGTTAACAATAACAAAGGCTTTTACAACAAAGTACACCTGAAATTATTTATAAAGCTACTAAATAGTTAAAGTATGAAAACTGAAAAACACCATTCAATATGATACAAAGTATTATCGCGCGCTAACTTTTCTTAAAACATTCAAAATGGCTGACATGACTGAGCTAACAGGTCCAAAACCTGATCAGATATAGAATGAAGTGAGCTGAACAAGATGTTAAAGTTTCAAAAGCAACTGTGAAGCCGTTTTTCTTAAAGTTTGCAGACAAGGATTTTAGCATTTGACTTCAAAATGGCAGACAGGAAGTAGGTATCGAGTTAAATTTTTGTCATCCACATCAAGACGCACTCACAAGTTATCCCTGAAAATTTGAAGGTGATATCTGTAGCGGTTTTGGAGAAAACTGCCAGACGTACGGACGGACATACGGACGCGCCTAGTCCGACAATATGGCCACACACTATGTGGTGGGGACATAAAAAAGTACATTTCAAAAATAATGTTATGTAATAAACTAATAATGTAAATGCATAGAGACATTCTGAAAAATTACTTACTCTCCCATTAGTGGTATTGAGTCCGGGAATTTGTCTTTGAAGAACTTCATCAGATCATCGTTTGTTTTAATTGAGTCAAATATTTTGAAAGGCATGAATAGCGTACCAACGAATGTTTTATCAGGGTTTGGCAGGGCAATCATCATAAATGTGTTCCTTGGCCAGATATGAAGGTAGTTCAACTCCATGGCATACTAAATAAATAAATAAATATGAGAAAGGTTACTTTTACTTTTCATGAAATGTAAAACTTGATTTTAATTTATTGCTTAAAATAGAAGATATAGCAGTACACTTTTGTTTCTTTGTGCGAGAGATTTTTAGCATTACCTCTTAATAACATACTGCAAAGTACTGAAAAAAAACTTGATATATTTTGTTTTCCCATGGCTCATATGGTTCAATTTCATATTGCCAGTGTAAAGACTTAGTTTTAATCAGAAATAAAGTGTAAAACATCAGTTTCTTTTGTGTCTAACCTCATTTTGTTTATTAGCTGGAATGGATAACTCTAAATAACCGTGTGGAATGTATTCTTGGCTGAAGTCAAATCTTGTAGTCTTCATGAGCTGTTGACGTACAGAAGAATAAGCACCGTCACAGCCCATGATTAAGTCTCCTGGAACTTCTACAGTTGTACCTTCATCTTCTCTGAAAGGAATTTGAAAAATATATCAGCTTGGTAGCTCAGTTGAGCACTCATCGGGAAAGTGAGGGTTTGTGGGTTCATTCTCAACTGACCAGCCCCTAGAACATTCTGTTTCCATTAATCAATACTCTCAACTCACACATATTTTGAGACACCAACGAATAATTATACTTATAACTCTGAATTTTTTTCCTATTCTACACGTTCATTTCTGAAAAAGGCACTTCGTACACATGCTATGTCCCGATCTCATGTACATTTACGTTGCAAACAGTGAAAATAATACTAAAACGGCCGCCTGTTGATGCTTTGAGGTGTCATCAATTGTTATTTAATCCAAATAAAGTAAACATTATTTTGTAGATTTAGACACAGGCTTTCAGGTCGTATATGCATTTTAGTCAATTAATTAACAAGAACGCTAGATTATATGTGTTACTAGGGTATCAAATTGAAATAAAATAACGAAATTAAATTATAAACGACTATCCGCTTTCAGTAATAATGACTATCCACTACTCAGAATAATTTAAATGCTTGAACTACATGTGAAGAATCTTTCTATATAACCCCTTCAATGGTCTAATTCAATTTGATGTCACGCACGTTTGTTTCGCTCATATCATTTTATTTTAAAATGTTATCAAAAATACCCTAATCAATTTTACAACGTCAAAAAATATTTTCGGAGAAAAGAACCTAAATGGGGCAAATTATACTACCTGGTCCCATTACATGCATAACAATGCAATTGAACTTAAAATAATGGCATATGTAGTATAAGTGTTACGTTTTCATGACATCATAAAAAATCTAGTTGAATCTCACTAGAAATGCATAATTTTGTCTCTTGCAATGAAGAGAGTCTTTTGTAACCCGCCATATTTCTATCAGGTTTTTTTCTTAGTAAAAACAGACACAATTTGTGAAATGTTTGCTATGTTAACAATACAAATTTTTAACGTTAAGGTTCAGCTGGAAAGTAACATTTTGGTAAAAAATTGCTATACCTGCACATGTTATTTTCTGGTACAAGATTAAGTATGAAGGCATGTGTGTATTTCCTTGCTTTTTTCAGGAAAGTATCATTACACTGTCTTCTTTTAGAATATCTGGAAACAGGTCAATGGTAGCTCCTGTGTTTTCTTGAAACTTTGAAAGAAAATTTGGAAAAAAAGAAAGTGTGAAATATTAGAATTTCCTGGAGTTCTCATTGAACGCCTATTAGATATTCTAAAAGATGACAATGTAATGATACTTTCCTGAAAAAAGCAAGGAAATTGACACATGCCTTCATACTTTATTTTGTACCAGAAAATAACATGTGCAGGTATAGCAATTTTTTACCAAAATGTTACTTTCCAGCTGTACCTTAAGTTGCAGTTGAATATAGATAGAATAAGTGTAAATGACTTTTTTGTTCTTAGTTTTGATTTTCAAAAAGATAATAGGGGCCTTAAGTTCTGTTTTTGTTTGTCTTTTTGAGTTTTACAAATTTTTACTATTTGTTGAGCATCCAAGATGGTGGATGTGCGTTGGTGACATCACAAAATGTCATTACGTCTTAAATAACCTTCGGCAAATGTTGCCCCATATTAAATTTGAGGTAAATTGGATGAGTAATAAGAAAGTTATGACCAAATTACCATTTTTGAAATCCCCAAATGCAACGTTTTACATGGTAAGAATGAGCACTTTAAAATTCAATGAAGTTCTTTTCAGCGTCTCTTACATAAAAAGGAAAAATAAAAATTGAATATTATTGTAACATATATTTTTCATGTCAAGTACCTTTGTTTTGATATATAACACTGTATGAATCATGTTAAAAGCATTGTTGAAGTCTCCCGAAAAACAGATGTACTATTTCTAGCTGGTCTTTCTGTAAATGTACATGAGATCGGGACATAGCATGACATTTAATGGGTGGTCTGAACATAAATAAGTTTCAACTGAATTATAAGATCTATATTCCCAGGATATAAATGGATATCTCAATGAAGGGTAAGATAGTTGTCCATATGGTAAAAACAATTAATTCTTCATCCTTCCCACGAAAGAATGTGATATATTACAGTACTGGTGCGGTCCCTCGTGAGATACACATATTTCCCTTGGGATAAACCCTGTATCCAAAACTGACCGTACATAACTGGTGTATCTCATACTTGAGTGGGTTTGGGGTAGATATAACCTTTACCACCTTTTTCAAATGACAAAATAGGCCTATACTGTAAAAGCACAATTTATATTTAACATTTTCATAATATTCCTTCAGTTCAATACAATAGAATTGTAACATTTAAACTTTTTGAAAAATTTTAAACTTCTGAAATTTAAATTTTAAACTCTTTTAAACTTTTGAAAAAATTCCCGGGAGCGGGATGGATATATTATATCTGCCCGCATTTGGCCTAGAGCGGGACATATACAATATATCCTGCCCGCTCCTCAGATATGATATATATTCCCGGGTGATATCTACCTCAAACCCACTCAAGTATGAAATACACCTCTATACCTTGTATAACAGGTATACTTTTGATTCTATTCACCTCTACAGGGGTCAACAAATAAGTAATTAGCACTATATTTTACCTCAAAAATGTAGCTTGGGGCTTTTCAAAGTCGCATCTTGTGATTTTGTGATTGAAATGAAGAGTCACATTGTCATATTTTTCTGCAGCTGAAATCAGAATAGTACCATTGAGATAAATCAGTAGACTATTTATTATTAGATAGTGAAAAGGCTTGCAAAGATGTAAAATAAAATTGGCTCATTTAAATTCTTTGTGCATTGGTGTTACTTGATACTCAATAGCCAATTTGAATGGAATTTTCAATACATCACATGTCACTTTTCAATACTATTCAATACAGGTCATAGTCATAATTAGTTTAGTTAAATTCCAAAGCATTCATATAAATTGATATGCAATTAAAGATAAATTCCAAGACAGCGAAACCTATAAAACATTTTGAACAAATTAACTTGTCATAATAAATATTCTAAACTAAAATGAAGAATGAGTTTGAAAAATGGAAAATGTATAATTTAGCCTCTGTGAAAAAATGTTCAAAGAGGTTCTCATTAGAAATATGAGTTTACAATGACAGAAGTCCTGATTCAAGAGGTATTCACTTATAAGGGGTGCTCACAGCAACAGGTTATACTGTAGTATATTCTACAGAACCCATTCATGTTATCTTGATGTACCAATGTTGAACCAGAAATATGTGTCAAATTGAGTGTCTGGTTAAACATAGGTCTAACCACTTTAGATTCTCATTCTTAAAACTTCAATGGTTATCGAAGAAATGTCTTAAGTCACGTACAACTCTGAACATGAACATTAAGATATTGTATTTTATGAACTTGTGTTATTACCTGATAAAAGCAGCTCATTCAAATGTCTTCTATCTACTGACATTATAGACTGAAAAATAAAATAGACATTATTCTTAAAATGCTATGAAATCGATTGTATGCGTAGAAATCAAATGTTTTTGAAAAAATTCATTTAAATCAAGGCAAATAATATTTGGATGACTAATCAAGGAGGATTGGATCCCAGATCTCCAACTCGATATTCAACCTTGACCTTGATTAATGACAATATTGAAAATATCATTATCTTAACTGAGTATAAATTCATAATTAGCAATCCACAAGATTTGAACTAGTATTTTGACCAAAAAAGACCAAAACTATATTGAAATTCTGAAGTGAAAAAATGGTGGCTGGTTGATTTAGAATTTTGTATATGAGATGAGATGGAACCCTGGGAGTCAATTCTCCTTGGTTGATTAATTAAACAATATTTTCAAACTTTGCATATAGCATAAAAGATTTTGTAACATTTAGCCAATGGGGATTTAACCCAGCCTTTTTCACACAAAAATTTAAACCCTGTTAAAATCAAGAAATTTTATAATAATGACGGATTAACTTGTTAATTAAAAATGTACTAATATTATTACTAGTATTCAAATGATACCACAAAATGAATATGTTTTGTATTTTATGTACATTTTTGTAAGAGCACCCAGTATTGGTGTGCCACCGTTTTAAAGGTGTAATAAATAAATAAATAAAATAAATAAATACTAATAATATTAATACTAATAATATTTAATATGTTTAAAAAGTTTGAATTCAATACATATTACAGAATTTGTATGAATTATTTCATGGGCTTTTAAGACAAAGCATATTAATGCATTAACATGTAAATCTACCAAAGGGGTTTTCAATAAGCAAATCTAATGCAGTGAAATTTTGAAGTCGCAATCACTTGTAGTCAAACCACTAAATATGGGTGGGGATGGGGCTAGGGGGTGTATGGGCAGACGGACTATTTTGAGGGAATACCTGGGGACTGTTCCACAACTAGTTACTTTGACGGAACATCAATGTAACTTCCTGGTTACGAGTTTTTTGTATTCTCCATTTAAACAGTGTACTTATAAGTCAAGTTGCAGATTATAATTTGGCATAAAAGCTAGAAACAACAGTCTAGAGTCTAGTTTTAATAAGTTTCTTCGATTTTGAGTTTGTTTGAGTAAATGAAGCTGCAATTGATATATTTAGCCCCTCGCTTTTGTTACATTTTGTTACAGTCTGTTATATTACCAATGTATGTTACTTTGACGACTTACGTCAACGTAACAAAAGCGATGGTCTAAATGCATGAATTACAGCTTTATTCAAAAATCAAATTCAAAACTGAGAACATTTCTAAAAGCTGGACTATATTGCTCAACTTTGTGCCAAATGATAATCCGCAACATGACTCACACGTAAGTTTAAATTGAGAAATCAAAAAACTTGTATCAAAAAAATTTATCCATTTTGTTACAATGACGTTCCGTCAAAGTAACTAGTTGTGGAACAGTGCTGGGGAGATGACAGATCAAAAAAATTTTCTGGGTAAACCTCACCACAACCAAATAAATGTATTACCTGGTCCCTTTTACCATAGGGTATAGATTTTTTGCTCCCATCAAGATTGTGTATCATACGGGCAAACATGGGAATCCCCTCACCAGTAATCTTTTCTTCTAACCCTACAGCTCTGAGGGCCTCACGTCCTCTACATGAGAGTGCAAGGTTTATACTACGACCCTTTACTACTTCCTGGGTTCTTATATCTGCAACATGTTGAATAATGATGTGTGTTCATTGTTTAAGCAGAATGGATGCCTGGCTACCAGCTTCATATTGGGTTTTCCCATACATATTATACAGAATGAGGATATCCCATGATTTATGAGTGATATCAGTATTATCCATAAATACTTTTTCTATTAGTGAATAAAAATCATATCATAGGTAAAACATAGGGAATATTCCTTTTATTCCAAAGTGGAAGTTACGGGTGCTTGTCATGTTCTTAACCTTTATTTATAATGACAGATTGGCAATTGTTAAAAAACTGTACTATTGATGGTTTTTGTGAAAAATATTTTTTTCTTTAGATTACAAAAATACTGTTTTCATTTTGAAAATGTTCATTTTGTTACTTGCAGAATCTAGGTGACAAAATGGAATTGGGGTATGGGTTATATCATTATAATACATGTACAGTAACTGAAATATTTTACCTAAAATTAGAGAATTACTATAGGGTCTTATGTCAAACAAGCCAAATTATTAGTTTACACCATCCTCACAGTACCCCTTACAATACATTGATAAGACTAAAATGTTCTTGAAAACTTTATTTCTACTGTCTTAGTTGAAAAAATGTCTCAAAAATGAAAATGTTGGTGAGCCCTTACAATACAATACACCCATTGCCTTGCAATGGCCATCCTATAAGTAGCTATTTTGCAACAGTGTTTCTAAAGGCAATAAAGGCAGGTGTTCGGTTAGTGCAAATATTCTCATACTATAAGTGCTTAAATCAGTGTTCCTACCTGGACGTCTCTCATAGACTTCTACCTGGAAGCCCCTTTTAGCCAGGAAACATGCGTTCAGGGCTCCAACCTAAATAATAAACACAAAAATATGATTTATACAAGATTGGAGAATTTAGAGAAATGTTTCCATGTTTAAGTGACTACCACCAAAAAAACAAGAAAGGTCATTAAAAACTTTCCTTCTCGAAAACCAAACCACACAGGGACATTGAAGTTCATAATGCTAAGGAAACCAACATTTCACGAATTCAAAAGAAGGTTTGTATGATAATTTCATTCATTTGTTTGTGGTAAATGTCAATTCAACTACATGTACATGTTTGCACTGAAAGCACTGTACCGATTTAAGGCTGTCAAATCTTGTGACATAAACTGATTCAGTTTCTGATTCCATTTCGAAATAGTTCTTCTGATTAAGCTACGATCAATACTTAAATTGACATCTGAATATACTTAAATTGACATCTGAATATACTTAAATTGACATCTGAATATTATACTTAAATTGACATCTTAATACTCTTACTATAAGATTGTTCAAGTTCACGCTTTGCATCTTTATATGCAATTTGTCTACATGAGGAATAGAAGTGAATTGATGTTTCTATCTTGTAAGGGCGCTGTTACAGTATATGGGAAAATATGTTAAGCGCATGACCCCATGCCTTCCTTTCTTGCATGCTAGTATGCCACATACAGTTCGCATTCACACTTTGTTCCCAGGCTATGCATTTGCCTAAAATTGGGTAATTTAAAAAAAAATCGGTTAGTTTTTTATATCTTAATTCTAATTCAGAAGTCTCATTATGAAAACTTAATGATTCTTGGTTCATTGATTTTACATTTCAAAGTTTGGTGATTCTTCGATATTTTGTTAGAATTAGAATCAAAAGAATTACTACTTTTTTCATTGCCAGACTGCGTCTGTAAAACTTGAAATAGAAGAGTTATCTTAAGATTGGGGGTCTTAATTACCTTCTAGAGGTAAGAACACACATTTCAATGAAACCATATCACCTTTGTTTTGTTCATGATGAAGCATAAGCTGACTGATTGAAATTTGTGTAAATGCTTTTTTGATTTTTCCATTTGTGTTGTTTTCCTTGTGTTGACTATCAGTAAGCCGTTGCCCCTATCACGAAATAATGTATTGAGCCTTGAACTTTAATGACATATCATCCAACCATGTCTGATGTGAAAATAATAACAATATTAACAAGAACAACGGCAACGCCAAAGCGTAGCGAATCCCATCGAACAGAAATGGCTGGCATTTTTACAAACAAAGCGCAAATATCATAAAACAACACACCAGAAAGGCCACCATTTTCAAAATGGTTGCTCACTAGCCAAGTTGTCATCAGAAGAAATAATATGCTGTTAAGTAGCCACCTCTAAAATTTTTTAAAAAATCGCACACGTACTTGTAAAATAACACACGTAAAAATGGTGGTCATTTTTCAAAATGGCCGACTACTCCCCAAAGTTTTATTAGACAATGTGCCATGCTTAAAGTATTCACATATTAAATAGAAACAAAATCGCTCCAGTACTTTTCGAGTTAAAGTAAAATACGTTAAAATGGTGGCGATTTTTCAAAATGGCCACCTTCTACCAAAAGCGTCATTAGAAATAGACAGTGTTCCATGCTTATAGTATTCACATACCAAATATGAACAAAATCGCTCCAGTACTTTTCGAGTTATAGTAAAATACATTAAAATGGCGGCCATTTTTCAAAATTGTTTTCAAAATGGCCGCCTTCTACCAAAAGTGTCATAGGACAGTGTTCCATGCTTATAGTATTCACATACCAAATATGAACAAAATCGCTCCACTACTTTTCGAGTTAAAGTAAAATATGATAAAATGATGGCCATTTTTCAAAATGGCCGCCTTCTACCAAAAGTGTCTTTAGACAGTGTGCAATGCTTAAAGTATTCACACACCAAATATGAACAAAATCGCTCCACTATCTTTAGAGTTACAGCAAAAATCGTAAAATGACGAGTAAAGGCCGCCATTTTTCAAGATGGCTGCCATGTGCTTTTTAATATCTACATTTGTAGCATTATTAATGTCCTTTATAATTTTTTTTACATTTAAAACATATTGCTATTACAGTTTTACATATTGCACCTAAATTACTGTAAAATCGTCACTAAAATGGCCGCCATTTTGAAATGAGCGGCCATTTTGAAAATCGGCTTTCGAGCAGAACTTCTACCCCCATAAGGTATATGTGTACAAAATATGAACAAAATCGGGCCAACAGTATTTGAGTTATTGCCCGGACGGACGGACGGACAGATGGACGGACGGACGGACGGACGTACGTACGGACGGACGGACGGAGGCGTCCCCTATATCCCTCCGAACTTCGTTCGATGGGATAAAAAGAATGTTTTGTGGTTGTTTGCAGAAGAGTTTAGGACAGGGCAGAGGAGGATGGCCTGTTCTAAGATAGAAGAAACTGCATGATCTATAATGGAACTATTGGTCTGAATGAAAAGCTGCACAGAAAGTATAAATGGGTCGTCTGCTTTATTAGTCTATTAATACAGTAGGACCTGTCCATGATGCTTTATAATTTAGACCAAAATAAAGAAGAATACACACACATGTAAATAAAATCAACAAAAAACATTCAATCTTCACATATGTTCGGTAATTTTGAAACTTCCGGAACTTACAAGGAAATCATTCGTTTTCACTGTCCATATTTTATCTCTTGGATATTGTGCTCAATGCTAAATGGTTATTATGCATCAATAGGGTCTAAGGGGGATACGGGATGGTGTGTATGTATTCATAAGGTATGTATGCATGCTTGAATCACATTCTATGCAAATTACCATGTTTTCAGGGTTGAATTAGTTCCGCTTGTCGAAACCTGCGGAATGATTAAATTAATGCATCAAAGGCAAAATGATCATGGAGGTTAGACCTAGCCAGGGCCATAAGACATGTCAGATAAGAAACGAGGCCCAGGCTAGGTCTAATGTTGTTGGACTACAGTAAAATTTAAAGTGTTTGGAACTACTTTGAATTTAAAAAATAAGCAATCAAAGGACCATATTGAAACAGTATATGTAAAAATAGAAACATTTATACATGTCCTAACTTTTGTATATTTTAGTTTGTTTTGTAGTTTAGCTATCATATCTGTGGCCTCTTATATTTTGATGCTTCTCTGCCATGTTATTTTCGGAAAAATTAACATGGCTGAAACTACAGATCTGGAGCCAGATCCAGTCCCTATTGGTAGTAGGCTCAAAGGATAAATGGGAAGATAAGACACGAGCAAAAATGGGACATTAAAAAATGACCACACAAAAATATGACCCTCGTACTGACCTTTATTTTTTCCGTCTGTCAGACATTGATTGATCAATATTTACCCCGTAATCTCTTCTTTTGTATTAGTTTGAATGGTTGCATGATATCCATTATTGACGCTGTAATTCTAATTTTCCCGGGACATTTATTTCCAATTTTCAGAGCGTAAAGATAATGGAGTGCTTCGGTAATTTTCGGCAGTGTCTGATGTTGTTCGTCTCTCAAATTACGTCACATCGCAACAAACAGCCAATGAAAGTAAAGGATCTCATAGCCTAACAAACCGTTGTTATTGTTTCTACAGGAGTTGAAGGAAACATCATGGGATTTCTCGGTAATCTCTGATGTGACGTCATTGGTAGTGGCGTCACATTCTCAGAAAAGGCATTTGACTTCGGGAATAAACATTTGAACAACGGAAATAGACGAGCACTCCATTAAATATATGCTCTCTTATTTTATGCTTTTATCAACAGATGCTTTCTTGAATGTGTGGCTTACATGTAAGTGATTGGAGATGAAGCTAACAACAGTACGCATAGTTTGAGGTATGACATGTGATATATATTGATAAACTGACCCCAAAATCAAGGAAATATAAATTTTCTGTGTCTTATCCTTGAGTATATTTATTGAGCCTAGACACCATAGAGGTAATCTGGCAGAGGTCCGTGACTCCCTAAATTATAAAAGGCCACAGCTTTACTGCACATTATATAACTATCTGAAATATACAAAAGTTAGGACAAGTACATATGTTTCTATTTTTTTTTATATACTGTTGCAATATAGTCATTTGATTGCTTATTTTTTAAATTCAAAGTAGTTCCGAACATTTAAAATCAATCATGTCACGTGAAAAACATTTGTCATATCGAAAGTTTTAATGAATATTTGGGTAAATTATACTCACTAATCCTCCTCCTACAATGATCACTTTCTTCCCCTTTTCATTTTTGCTTGATGCCATGGTGCAGAGCAGCAATAAATCAGTAAATCAGCAGTAATTCATAAAATAGAGCGACTATGTAACTTTTAAGTTTCCCACCGGAAGTATTGTGGCGTGTCATGAACAAAAATTCACTCCGTAAACTTTTCGGCGACGAGTTATATTTTGGCTTTTTATCTAAATTCGTTGATAATTCGTCTGAAAAATGGAAATAGGGACAGAAATCAGTCAAAAGATCAGGGTAAGCTTCTACTCCAACATTCTATCTTTGATCAGAATTTGATTGTGCAGTCTCACGATAGACGACACTACTTTATTATCAGCTTGAATGTGCCAAATTTCCATGACTTTTTTTGCAAAATCAAACAAATGGTGAGAATATGCTTGAAATGGAAATAGCAGAGCTTGTGATTTCCTCCATCAAGCTTCGATAGACTGAATTATGTCACTTCGTCCTGGGACTGCTTCGACCATGAGGTTATTTCTAATAGGCTGATTCTTCAAATTCTCGGTTCTAACATCTTGGCAGTTCATAAAGATAAAACACTTATTCTAGTGAGTAGTTGAAAGATCGCAACGTTCGCTACTTTGTTCAATTCCCGAAATCTCCAAGGGGCTGCAAATGGGAAATTTTTTAGATTTAGATTTTATAACCTCAGAATACTGCCTTCAGTGTCGTGTTTGGCTGAGTTCCACAATGTAACCTAGCAGGATGGATGACATAGAACAAACTGCTAAGTAGACACATGGTAACATTTCATGATTTCGTTATTTTAACCATATGAACTACTCACAAGAATAAGTGTTTATCTTTATCTTTATATTGAAATCATAACCCAATGCTGAAATATCCCCAAGGGTGAAATAACCCCATGACAAACTAACCCCACTCCTCAAAGGACCCTTATACTGCCTATAGATGATCTATCTTTCTGCCCCCCTTGAAATCTGTAAGTTTGAAATAAAGGGAACATTTGATTTTCTGACTACTCACCATTAGCAACTCTATGGCATGAGAAAAATTCTCCATGTTAACCTTCATTGTGTTTTTTCCATTATAACCTTTTATTAACATATTTTAACAATGGGCTTTAATAAATATCCTGAATAGTTTAAATACTGGCTCAAATATTTGTTACTTCCAAGAAGCTCATCTTCCTGTACTTAAATTAAAAATAGATTTAAAATATAATACTTGCCAATGGGGTGGAGCAATCAATGGGGTGGAGCAATCAATGGGGTGGAGCAATCAATAGGGTGGAGCAATCAATGGGGTGGAGCAATCAATGGGACGGAGCAAAATTATTTCATTAGAATATTAAAAACATATAGTAATAAGCCATTTAAACATGAACGTCATTTTTAAACTAAACAAGAGAATATAAACTACATCTCAGCTGACTTGACCTACATGTATGTGGGGTGTACTAATTTATTCGATTATACAAACGCAGACACAAATCATCCGGACAAAAACCTCACTATACAACATTGTGTTGATCACAAAAAATAACATTCTTTGTGTTTTCATAATTTTTAACTGACTCATCTTGTTAATGTTTCATTTATTTCTTGAACATTTATTTTCAGTCTGCAATAAAAGCAAAGCTGGTAGAACTGGGAGCATATGTTGGTAGGTTTTTTATTTGCATTTACCCTGAATTCCACACTTCCCTCTGACTATTGGAAATGATTTACAGTTTTGTTGATAAGGGAGCTTTCATGGTCATTAATACGATTTTAAATGTGAAATTAATGTCAGCCACTAAAGGTTAGTGCTTATCTATATATTTCAGGTAATTGTCATTTGGCAACTATGTAGTAGTATGTATTACTTCTCATGGGTACTCTTGGTTCAATATTTCATAATTGTTAGTAATAATATTGTATCATGGTTACAGATGATGAGCTGCCAGATTACATCATGGTCATGGTGGCCAATAAGAAGACACGTCAACAAATGGCGGATGATTTATCACTGTTTCTTGGGATGAACACAGAAACATTTACAACATGGTATGAATGACTGAATTTGCTGATTAACTAAGATATTAAGCACAAGCTTGCATACTTATATCATTTGCAAATAGGTATCAGAGTTGTCCCCCATCTTTCAAATATTTCTTTATGAAGAACTGTAGCAGGACAGGTTTAGTGCCATTAACACGGGTCTACAGAAGTATGATTTAGCATCATCTAAGATGGTAGACAAAATTTCTTTGATATTGTCATTGATAAAACTTCGATTTCAGCTAAGTCAAGTAAAATCTGAATCGCGTATATATATTTTTTTTCAAATTAATAGATTAATGGCCAAATATTTTGAATCCATGTATAACTTGCCTGCCAATCTGCTGTGGACCAGTAATTAAAGTGTTTTAAGTTAACAAAGTTTCATTCAGGTCACTGCCAGCCGAGAATTATTGATTGCATTACATCATATACATTGAATTTTGGAGTTTTTTGATAAATAAGTTACATTTCAGGCTTGCTCAATTGTTAGAAAAGCTCCAGGCTATTACTGCTGACCCCCCATCAAAACAGACAACTCCAAATAAGGACACAGACCCTAAATCTGACAAATCAAGTAAGAAAGACACTGACAAATCAAAATCAGACAAAGCAAAAGATCATGAAAGATCAAAATCAAAAGACTCAAAAAAGAAAGACTCTAAAAAAGATCATGACAAAAAGAAAGAATCAGACAAAAAGAAAGACATTGATAAAAAGAAACACTCTGAAAGGGAAAGAAAGAAATCTAAAGGTGATAAAGAAACTGCAAAAGAGCCAGTTGAGTCAAATGAACAATTAATAGCACAAAAGGATGAGGAAATCTCAGAAAAAGCCAAACAAGAAACTGAAGTGGCGGATACAGTGCTAACAGTTGCTCCTGAAATAGGTATGTTTAATTATCCCATCGAACGAAGTTCGGAGGGATATAGGGAACGCCTCCGTCCGTCCGTACGTACGTCCGTCTGTCCGTCCGGGCGATAACTCAAATACCGTTGGCCCGATTTTGTTCATATTTTGTACACATATACCCTATGGGGGTAGAAGTTCTGCTCAAAAGCCGATTATCAAAATGGCCGCTCAATTCAAAATGGCGGCCATTTTAGTGCCGATTTTACAGTAATTTAGGTGCAATATGTAAAACTGTAATAGCAATATGTTTTAAATGTAAAAAAATTATGAAGGACATTAATAAAGCTATAAATGTAGACATTAAAGAAGCACATGGCAGCCATCTTGAAAAATGGCGGCCTTTACTCGTTATTTTACGATTTTTGCTATAACTCGAAAAGTAGTGGAGCGATTTTGTTCATATTTGGTATGTGAATACTATAAGCATTGCACACTGCCTAAAGACACTTTTGGTAGAAGGCGGCCATTTTTCAAAATGGCCGCCATTTTAACCTATATTACTATAACTCGAAAAGTAGTGGAGCGATTTTGTTCATATTTGGTATGTGAATACTATAAGCATGGCACACCGTCCTATGACACTTTTGGTAGAATGCGGCCATTTTGAAAAAAAAATTGAAAAATGGCCGCCATTTTAACGTATTTTACTATAACTCGAAAAGTAGTGAAGCGATTTTGTTCATATTTGGTATGTTTCATATTTCATATGTGAATACTATAAGCATGGCACACTGTCTAATGACACTTTGGGTAGTAGGTGGCCATTTTGAAAAATGGTCACCATTTTTATGTTTTTTACTATAACTTGAAAAGTAGTGAAGCGATTTGGTCATATTTGATATGTGAATACTCATGAGCCTTGCACCCTGTCTCATGACACTTCAGATAGTAGACAGCTATTTTATAAAAATGGCTGTCATTTTTACATTTTTTACTATAACTCGAAAAGTAGTGGAGCAATTTTGTTCATATTTGATATGTGAATACTTTAAGCATGGCACATTGTCTAATAAAACTTTGGGGAGTAGTCAGCCATTTTGAAAAATGGCCACCATTTTTATGTGTGTTATTTTACAAGTACATGTATGCGATTTTTCAAAGATTTTATAGGTGGCTACTTAAAAGCATATTATTTCTTCTGATGACAACTTGGCTAGTGAGCAACCATTTTGAAAATGGTGGCCTTTCTGGTGTGTTGTTTTATGATGTTTGCTATATATTTTGTTTGTAAAAATGCCAGCCATTTCTGTTCGATGGGATTCGCTACGCTTTGGCGTTGCCGTTGTTCTGGTTTTTTTTTTTTTTCTTATTTTTCAATTTCACTTGAATTCATTCCAGTCCATAAAACTGACATATCTTCTGAGTGTATACATGACGTCCAATACTTTTGAATGTTGGTACAGTGAAACCTGTAAAGTTGAACACCTCTAGAAGTGGAACATTTTTCAGAGTCCCAAGATTAACTGAATTAATGTTAATGAACCCCTGTATAAGTGGAACACCTCCCATGTAGAACACTTTTTAGAGGTACCAAAGGTGTTCCATTTAGACAGGTTTTACTATTACTATTATTTCTACTAAAAATAAAGTAAGATAACAAAAGAGAAAGAAATATGAATTTGTACTTTATATTGTTGTGATCAAATAAAAGGGTAAGTTAGGCAAAGTTGTCTTTATATGATTCCATTCATCTCACAGACATTAAATCAAGATTTTCAAATCATATACACTTAAAGAACCATAATCGTCAATATGATAATTCGAAAAGCTGGGATATTTTTACTGTCTTTGAGCATAGCTGTGAAAATGAGTATTTTTAATGGATACAGTATGAAACTTAACTCCTTAATGTATGAAACAAATCTCCTTAATGTATGAAACTTAACTTCTTAATGTATGGAACAAATCTCCTTAATGTATGAAACTTAACTCCTTAATGTATGAAACAAATCTCCTTAATGTATGAAACTTAACTCCTTAATGTATGAAACAAATCTCCTTAATGTATGAAACTTGACTCCATAATGTATGAAACAAATCTCCTTAATGCATGAAACTTAACTCCTTAGTGTATGAAACAAATCTCCTTAATGTATGAAACTTGACTCCTTAATGTATGGAACAAATCTCCTTAATGCATGAAACTTGACTCCTTAATGTATGAAACAAATCTCCTTAATGCATGAAACTTAACTCCTTAATGTATGAAACAAATCTCCTTAATGTATGAAACTTGACTCCTTAATGTATGAAACAAATCTCCTTAATGTATGAAACTTGACTCCTTAATGTATGAAACAAATCTCCTTAATGTATGAAACTTAACTCCTTAATGTATGAAACAAATCTCCTTAATAAGATATTGAAATAAAGTATTGCTGTCAATTTTAATTTCAGATGAATTTTCTGAAGAAGCAAGGAGAGAACAAACTCAACATGAAACTGAAGAGAAACAGAAAATCTCACCAACACCAACAATTTCTACATCCCCAGTCACTCAAACTGGTCAACTGGCAGTCCTTGCTAGACTTGGTAAAACTGTAACAACGAAAGCGCCCGTAGAAGATGCCCCCTCGAGCTCAGATCAAGTTATGGTAGATAGTTCCTCTAAAAAATCTCCAACAGAGAAGGCAACTGTGAAAAAGCCCCAGAGGGTTATTAAGACTTATGAGTATCTTCCAGGGAGAGTGCTTGGCCTCTCTGCAAGGGTATGTTGAGTTCTATATTTGAGTCAGTTGCTCATTAAGAAAACAATATATATTTGAAAAGTGTAGAATGTTTGAAATAATTTCAGTATGACTGATTATATAGTATGTTGAAGATGATCAGAAATGATTAAGTATAGTCATATTCTCTGCATAATACTAAATTCATTACAGTTACTTTTTTGATATCTGAAAAATATAAATGTGATATACTATTTCAAATACATATTCAAACCTTTAAAAGTATATTGAGACTAAGTCATTTCACTTGCAGCAAAAGAGACAAATGTCAGATGAAACTGAAGTTATAGAGAAGCCTAGACCTTTGAAATCCAGCACTCTTAAAGATAGCATTGTTAGCAGTACGGAAGATAGAAATGCCCGTAAGAGAAAATCAACAGAAATTGGATCAACTGTAGGTTCAGTTATTAGACACAATGTTGATGATGATGAAGATTTTGATCGTAGAAGAGTCGGAGCTGTTGCAAGTGTTATACATGTGTCTGAAAGAAAGTAAGCATGGGTTTCTTTTTTCCATCTGAAAATCTGTAATCTAATCTCATGAGGCTGTGAAGGGTTTCCTTGACATTTCAATACTTGCACAAACTATTATTTTAGGTCTAGTATTCCCAAGTCCCTTCAAGCAAACAAATCATTGATCCTCAAAGCAGTTGACGCTGCTACCTCTTCAGTGGCCAATCCATCAATGCGCAGAATTACACGCGCAACACGACAATCTTCAGAAAATGAAGTGGGATCTAGACATGATGGTGAAGTTGAAATGAGGAGGGATAGAAGAAGTCCTAGAGATTCAGATAACAGACAAAGAGGTGCAGATAGCAGACAACGTGGTGCAGCTAGCAGACAAAGAGGTGCAGATTACAGACAGAGAAGTTAAATTGTGTTCTTTTATAAACTAAAAATAAAGCAAATGACATATATGTCAACAAAAAATGATAATTTGATCTTTATTTTACACATCTCGTTCTAAAAAAGAAAAATAATATGGCAGAATCATGAAAACCATTGACAATTTTTGTACTTTGCATTCATGATTTCCTTATTTCTTCAGCACATATTCTAGAAAGACTTGCCCCGGAATCATTTAAGCCAAAGGGCTTGACATCACGATCAAGTCGACAAGACCCCTTGGTAGAATATCGAAATGAAAGGAGTGACTCTGAAGAAGAGAAAGATGAAATTATGTCTGATGTCATAGATAGTCCAACGGAAAAAGTAGAGAGTATGTATTTTAAGACAAATCTTTTCAGATCAAGCAATATAAATTTTTTATCAGTATGTAACATTTAATAATGTATGCAGTGTTGAACTGAAAGCCAGTACCCTTTACAATTTCAAAATGAATTCTAAAATGCTTCGTGTGGATCATTCTCAAACAGTCAACAAAGTAAAGATATAGCAGGCAAAGATTTCACCTCTCTTAGGGGCGGGGTCAAAATATCGATGTTCATATGGAGACGAAAGTACTTTCGCGAGGGGGAGGGGTTTTTTGGGCACTTTCGTTGACCAAAAAAACATCGATAATTCGGATCTGATATACAAAAAATAATTGGACTTACCCACTTTTTCTGGCGCTATGTTCTGATAAAAAGGCTTGTTTTCAATAGTTCGTGAGCTTTTTTGTGTGATAGGTCCAAAATATCGGTAGATAAAGACGATAATTCGATCATTTTTCAAATAAATTCCGTACTTTTCCCTCCTCCTTTTGAAGAGTTCAATGCAGTTTAATTGCGAACGTGTGTTAATTCACCGTAATAATAACCCGTCAAATATGATACGATTATGCCTCTCATTTGACTTTTCTATCAGGTAATAGTCACTGAAAATCAATGTTTTTTTGAAGTGACCTAAGCTTTCGTCTAGAGGGGGGGTGGGGGGGTTGTTGTCCAAACGAAATTACTTTCGTCTCAATATGAACATTGATATTTTGACCCGCCCCTTAATGAAATTGTATTCATGTTCATTAGCTACTGAAGTTCGAACCATCTCGATGGGTTTCGTCAACGACTCAAGGAAAGTTGAGCGAATTATTGAGGTACAGACTAAAGACTCTGAGCCAGAGAGCCCTGAAGATAATACAGTGACGTCTAACACAGATATACTCATGGACGACGAAGTTGATGATTATCTTGTGGAAGATGATTTGGCGCAGAAAGAAAATGTGCGCTATGTACAACAAGCTGTTCAAGAGTAGGTTGAATTTACTTCATGTTTTCTCTCGTAATTCACAACCCACAATGTTATTTTCAGTACATAATACATACCTTTTATTATATGATGATTCATTTATTTACTTGTTTGTATTTTCTGTTGTGAAACATATTGAAAGATGATTTTATTCAACAAATTGCTGTCTGCATTGGTTTATTTCAAGAAAACAAACTAGATTTATCAAATGAAGTGTTCGTAAGAAACCTATTATTTATAAAACCAACTAAAACATCCATATTTATGAATGTATAACTCTATAATCTTTTAAAATCTTGAAATAGTAAAGAATATTGTTTATGTTAGTGAAAATAGGATATAAACATGAAATCACATCAACAATATTGCAGGTCTAAGGCACAAGTCCCAAGAGCGGAGAGTCCAAGATTTATTGTCACATTGGATGGTGTTGATCCCAGAAGTCTTACAGGGCACAGAAATGCCTCTGAGGAGGACTCCATGGACGATGACTCCCCTCAGAAAGTTATACCCCAGACCTTTTATAGACCCCTAGCCATAGCCATTGATTCTGATAGTAAGTACCAATGGTGTATCCATTTCTTATAAAATAATTAAAATGGCTGCAAAAAAGAGCGTAAAATGTTGGTAACAATCTTTTCAAAAATTGTGCAAATGTTTCCTTTACAATGCTAAACTTGTGATCTGAAAATAAAAATTGATATCACTGATCAAATATGGTAATAATTGAAGTATTTAGCACATACGAACTGAAAAATGGGATGCCCATCTTTTTCAAAATGCCAAATAACTTTTATAGTCTAAGGATTAGCATGTCAAAAATCGGAACTGTTGGTTTGTTAAACAATTAGTATGTCACAATTAGTGACATGTTGCAACTTCCAAAAATTTGTGACATATTATTGTATATTATATACCAAGCACTGCTTTGTCTGCAATTGTACACTTTTGTAACCAATTGTGGATGGTTACATTTTTTCATGTAAATGCCTTGTCTCCTTGTTGTACATGATTTGATCTACTAATCATATGTTTACCTGTATTTGTGTACCTTATTCTCCATCTTTGTCTTCTAGGTGAAGGGGATGGTGAATATGAGGGAGAAAACCACACCTCCCCCAGGAAAAAGCCTCGTATGAGCACAGTGGAGCGCTGTAAGTTTTGGCCTGGTTGTAAGAATGGTTCTTTGTGTCCATATCAGCACCCAACAACACCTTGCAAGTAAGTCATTGACTTTTTCCATTATGTACAGTGTATGCTCAGCAGTCAGCTCACATGTTTTTCTTTTTCATTTTTCATTTTTGACGGCCTTTGTTTAAAATGTTTTCAAACTCTGTTTTTATGATTGGCTGTTAGAAAGTCTGTTTTAGTGGAACAATAAGTATAAGAAGTATATTTTAGTGTACAAAGTCACATATTGAACACCCTGTATATATTAAAATGTAGTCTTATCATTATTACTTATTTTTTGTTCTTCAGGACTTTTCCCAACTGTACATTTGGTGATAAATGCCTGTATGTTCATCCAAGTTGTAAGTTCGATGCCAAGTGTACTAGAGCAGATTGCCCATTCACTCATTCAACCAAGCATTTGGCACAACCACAAAGAGGTATGATAACGGCAATTTTGAATTAATTCATAATTACAACAATTTACTGTCCATTTCACTTAAAAAATAAGACATATTACATTTTTTTTGTCTCCTTGTGTATTGTTTCTTGCATTAAGAAAAGATGATTCTAAAGTTCAAATACAGTAAATACAAATAATATAATCTGTATAAGTGGTTTTAATTCTTTGTGACGTGTTTTTTTAATGAATTAATGTTTTTTGAATTTTTTATATAGGTCCAGTAGCAAAGTTTGCTCCTATACAAACTGCCCACCCTGTACTCCCACTACCACCTTCCAACTCCCAGAATTCTCGTCAGACAAACTGCAAGTTTTACCCAGAATGCACCAATATGAACTGTCCATTCAATCATCCCAAGGTGAGTCATACATGAATGTTAATAAAATTTTCATTGTTTAGAATCTGCAAGAACTCTAAACATTTGCTTAAGTAAAACAATTTGATGACTAAACATGGTAAAATCAATGGAGCTGAGATAAAACTTTTTGAAAACTCTTTTAAACAGATTTAATTGAAGAAATGAAAATATTTTAACTCAAATCATAAACATGAATTACATTATAGAATACATGTACATAGACAGTCATTTATTTTTTACAATTACTTATTTATTCTTTACAAATCCATACAGATGTGCAGGTATGGTGTGGGATGTGGTAGAAAAGACACCTGTTCATTTACTCATCCAAAAGTTCCCACCGGTAGCAAACTAAAGTGGAAGGCTGGACAGAGTAATCCAACTACCTCACAGTCACATCATATAAGGTAGGTCTTAGCTAGGAATATGTAAAACAAAATTAAATAGTTTGGTTTTAAGGTGGACCCTGTCAAAAACTTTCTAAACCTCAAGATATCCTGATTTCACAGCCTTCATTGAACCTGCCTTATAAAGCAATTAATTTCTTGAATACCGCATTTCATTTTTTGCCAGTTTTCGCCATTGTACTTTCCTTATACACACTATTTACAAGGTATACCTTTTAATACAGTGAAGCCTTTTTAGTGAAGCATCTGATTCACTTCTGATCTCTTCTACCTCTTATTGTTTTTCAGTGAACGCAAGTTTGTCATTTCAACAGGAAGTAATCCTAACCCGGCAGAAGATTTGAATACATTTTAGTGAGAATATTACATGGAATAATGACATTGTGCAAAGTATACTTATTGTCACGAAGGGACATAACATAAACTACAGACTGTATACAGCAGAGTGGTCGAAAGCTGAGGCGAGCCATGAAATGTTTTAGCTTGAAAAGCATTGTGGAATATTTTAGCGCATGATACATACACATGGAATGTATCCTGGATGTTGATGGTCAATCTTGTCACAGTTATCATTTCAGCAACTACACCGTAAAGTTGCTATTGTGAGGGCCCAACATTTCTTTTATTATACCCAATGGTAAAATTGCTAGCTGCTAATGTTGCGAAACTTTGGCGATTATATTGTAATGTGAATGTTATATCTAAATGGAATAAACAGAAAAAAACTATCCAATGCACGGTACAGTGTTTTCACTTCATATATATCTTGATTAGACTGCAGTGCAATGTGCAAGCAAAAGAGTAAGATAATGTTCTAAATGAATGTAATCATGACATGAGTCTGAAGCATTGGAAGTGTTTTATTCAATATAAGAAGTAAGTGTATTTACCTGGGGTTCTGTGAATGAATGCGTATGTGTTAATATATGGAACTAGTGTCTTGAACTGGTGACTTATCACCCTGTGTCATGAAAAGAAGCACTCAAAATTAATGAACATAAAAAAAACATTGCACAAGACAATAAAATGAAGACAGATCAGTTGAGGAAATAAGTTGCAAATCATGAAATCAGAAATTATGAATAGTACAGGTTATCAAACTATGTAGAGTGATGTGTGATATGCTGATACAGCATTTGAGATGTTTGTTCTGCTCTAGTGGTTTGAAGTGAGGCTTGTACAAACTGGGTCAGGATTTACATCACCTTTGCATGTTAACTGATTGATTATTATGGGATGGATATAGGAAACCAACTGCTTGAAATGGAATAATACAACTCAAGTGAAAACCACTAGCGTCAACTTGAATTTTTGAAGCATCTTTAATTGAAGATAAGGAAATTGAAATCTGAGATGGAATTTATTTGAATATCTCTCATCAAATTTTTATTATGTCACAACCACAATTGGTGACATAATGTTATCAAACGTTTGTGGATGGGGGTTGGCACTTGGTGTTTGGGGTTTGATGATCGGCGTCTGTAACATATGTTGTCTGTTACAAATGGCAGGTGGTGACATGTTAATGCCTTGTCTGAAAGTAATAGTTGGCCAAAACAAAAATAGTTGGTGGCAATGATATAAGGTTGCTTTGAAAAGGTAATGAATGGCTTCCATTTCAAAAGATTTGATAAATTACTCATTGGATTAACATATTCGAAGATTTTTATTTTTAATTTCCTGTAGTTGTTATACAAAACTGAAAATAAAATATGAATTAATGTAGTAGAATATAGCTTTTCAGTGTAATCATGGAAGTATTTCATCTTACGAGACACAAATTGAGCTCATCTTGAATTATAGACAATTAATAAGAGTTAATGAGATTTAGATTGCCAATACTGACTATAGGGATCATTCTACATGTTACTTTAGAGTGTTTGGGTTAAGGTTATACTTTTTAATTATGATTTTTTTCTTCAATACAAGTTATTGAATAAATGAATTGATTTAATGACTTATATGTATTTATTTTATTTATGTGAAATGAATGTTTTAATTCCCATACAGTGCTCAGTTGATGTTTTATGGTTTTCTGGATAAAATCACGAGTTGTGTGTGAAAATTATCCTTCATATGTAGTTTCAAAATCAGTTTTGTACAAAAATTCATACATTTCATGCATTTGTATCTTCATATTCCCAGTTTTACGATCTATAAACAACTGAACAAATTAATACATATTTGTACATTTGTTCATTGTTGGGGGGGGGGGGGGGTGTCTGTATATATTCATCTGAATAAATACAGGCATTGATCGTAGTGCATTGTGAGTGAATTAATATTACACATCCAAGAATTATTTGGGATTTCTCAGAACCCTTTATTACCAAATTATTTTTCAAAAATGAAAACAAAACAATGAGATTATTTTAATGTTTTTATTTTATATAAATTGTTGACAGAGGCAAGATAGAGGGAAGTGCAAAGCCCTATCGAAAGATTGAAGTCATATTATCAATGTTTTTTCTGTGACAAAACATTGCTTTCTATCCCATCCCCTGTTAATAATTAAAGTTTTGTGATAAAATGGCGCACTGATATTTCTCCCAGCTCCTCCAAATTCAAATTGATATTATACAAAAACTGGTACATTACAATATAGGAATGAAATATGTTAATGGAACACATTTCACTATATGCTCCCTTGAAATCTAATAGTGGATGAAACTGAATAAGTATGATTTTGTGGCTTATTAATCAAGCATCTAATTGTGAGATAATGTTCCCTTAATTATAAGAAAATATTTCCAAATATAGTATTACAGAACAGGTTTTTATTTAACATATATGGGCAAATAATGACCAAAACTGAGGTTCCAGAAAGCTTTCAATGGCTCTCATACCATAACCATTAACTACCCATATACCCATTGCCCCTATACACCTAGAAAGGTAATGTTCTTAGAGTTACCAAATTATAATGTACATAGTACAGTAAAAACACAGTTAAACCAAACCTTCAGTATTTGATACAAAAATAGTCTGTACAAAGGTGGAAGTGTAAATCATACTATATAGAGAAAAACATCTCAATTTTCAATCTAAATAGTTTGAGTACCACCTCCAATAAATAAATATACACATGTGTAGTATAGAAATTTTGTACATTTAATATATACTGGGGGCCATTTTGGAATTAATTCATATCTCACAATTCGTAATATTCAATTCTGTCCCGCCTTGTCAACAATATGAAAAAATTGAATTCTACAAAGATTATAAATCGTGAAACAATCTTGACACGCCCCCTATCTTATTGTAGTTTTAACTAAAGTAACTGTGATACCATAAAAGGAAAATAAGTAAATGATAAATATGAGCTGTTTAGGTTCAAGGGGACATCTTTGAACAACACTGTTATACTGTAACATTTACAAACTGTTTTAAGTCAGTTAAACACCAAACTATCCAGGGAAAGAGCGCAAGGTGAGTGAATACTTTAAATTTGGCTGACTGATTCAATAGAACATCTAATAATAATGTCAATAATTGGAAATAAAACAGTTTGAACATCATAATTTTGTTATGTACATTGTGATTTATAAAATAATCAGCTTTATAAAAGCTCATTTCGACAAAAGTTTTAATTTTTCAGTGTGGAATCATATACATGCAGCTTGTACACAACTGGTTGAAGAGGCGATTCATTTGTCAGCATTCACATCTAGTACGTCTATGAAAGTTTAAAACCATATGTCATTTGAAACAAATATTTACCCTGGTACATTTCTTTTAGATCCAAACTTTGAATTTGTCTGTTTGTAATCAAACCACAGTTGTCCTTTCATTTTTGCCTCAGCTGTAATTGGAGCAAAAGGTACACGACTATAATATAATTATTTTAATTGGTCATTCAATCTTACTTCTTCCCTTTGTTTCACTTGTTTGGTTTGTTTTCTTCTTGTTTGTTTTTCTTAATTGTTTGCAGCATTTCACTTAATTGCATGAATTCAATTGTTTTTCATATCTGTTCCATTTCAATCCCATACTGTTTCTATTCAATCCATGAGTATGATTCTACTTGATTCCCGAGATCATTCACACGTTAACTGTGATTATTAATAACTCAATACAGCAATGAATAAATCTTAGCATGCAGCTTTAATTAGTTCTAGGTCAGTTGGTGATTTCCATTCCACTGCGTGAATCTTTCTATTCTCCATAGTAGAATATTAATCCACTGGACATGATTTTATTAATTTTATTAATCCACATTGTCCTGAAAGATGAGTTTAGTGAACCCAGGGACACCGTCCAATGGGGTGGCACAGAATGGACACATGGCTTGGAAACCATGACAACCATGAGGAATTGCTATTGAGGCCCAATATCTGGAAATATACAAATGTCAACCTATACTCATACGAACTTCAATTTCAGGATAATTTTACTTAAAAACTATCATTTCAATCAACATTGTTGGCTTCATAAACATTTGTAATGACCCAAGCATATACAATTATCATGTGCCATTACTTTCATTTTAATTGAAAATACTGAGACACAACTTGTTGTAATATCAGTCAATTCTTTAAAAAATCCTTACTTTACTGTGTGTTCACTGGCCATATGAGCACATGGACAGAAACAATGTGTGGGGGGATCTCTGCTGGTATATAAACTTGTCTCATTTCCCAGCAGCAACTTGGTGAACAGACCAACCTGAAAGTAATGCAAATATTCAAAAGTCATTGAACCCATACAGCCATACAACCCCACACTTTATCAGGGCCCTTGATATTTCCAAGAGATTAACTAAAATTCAATTACAACCTGTGTTAAGTGGAACACCTTTGTTAACATCAAAATAATGTTCCAATGTATGGCATGTGTTCAATAGGTTCATGCTATTTCAAGTTAATGGGTCAATAGGACTTTAATGGGACTTTTGAAGTGTTTCCCATATGGAGGTATTCTTCTTCACAAGTTTTACTGTAATCGCATATCAATTAAAGCAATATAACTAAACATACCTTCCTACACATGGGGCACATTCGTTTGGAATTATCATGCTCTTTGTCCCCCCAGTCATGCTTCCCATGTACATGGCCACATTCGAGATAAACATAGGGCTGCTTGTCTGAGATTGATATAGTGTTTTTACTTGGAAGAACTAGAGTATTTAAGCCCACTGGGCACTGCGGTCTGCCAGCATTGATTGCTGCAACTTGGCTCTGCAGCTGGGATTGACTCTGCAACATTGAAAAAATGTATAAAATACAATGCAACATACAATTTTTAAAAAACAATTACTGGGCTTTTCAGAAAAAATCGTCTCATACATTTAACATTTTTAAAGAGTTTCATATTCGAACAAAATCTAATAGATGTTCTCATTTTTGAGTCGTCAACTCATCAATCATTTCAAATCTGGTAGCACAGTTATGATGGTTTGATAAATAATTGAAATGTTGACTTACGGGTACATTCTTGAGTCCCTCAGCAGACCTCCAAAGTAATGTGGCGCCACATAGATCTATGAGCGTACCATCTTCCAATATGTTATTTTCATCCTCTACCTACAAATATAGCAGAACATCCATTATCCTGAACCATCCCAATTTCCATATGTAAACAGAGCTATATATTCCCACAGATGAATGTCAGTCACTTTGACTTCAATATTTCGTCTATTTAAAAGCAATAATGACTTGAATTTAAGATGTGCTTAATGAGTTCTTTTGATTTAAGGATTTAAGCCATGGACTCAGTGCAATGATCATTCTTTGAAGGCTTTCCAAAGTTTGCTTGAGATGTGGAGCATTGAGTGTTAATTTTAGGAAACAACGCCTGAAAGGAATGGTCATATCACAATGCATTGAGTCTTGGGCTTAAATTCTTTTCACAAATTGCCAAGTATTTTTTCAAAATCATTTAAAAGATGCAATATCACTAAAATAACATATTTTCAATGAAACCTTTTTCAAGGGTCAAGAAGGCAAAGTATCAATTTCAATCTGTGAACTAGCATCTTCGGATTGGCTGGAATCGGACAAACCTTGCCTGGCTATGTGTGAAGATGATATCAAGGTGGATCTCTTACACTTTAGTCTCAATATAAGTACACTATATTCCAACATAAATTGACTTCATGGTTCTACTAGTGCAGTATAGCCTAATATTAAGACAGAGACTTATAATTAATAACTGTGGACATTATAATTATACTGTCAAATAACCTTGTATATTATAATAATAACTTTGTTCTTCTTGCCTTTGATGCTTCCCATTAAGGCATAGACACAGACTTGTAGGTCAGTGCCAATATGTACATAAGTCACACCTTAGATTAAAAGAAAGAAAATAACCAATAAATATAAAAATAATATAAATGACCTCATAATGATCACCATTGTAATAGTAACTTAGAACTTACGAGGCTACTGCGTTGAGGTGTACTCCTCGACTCCCTGAGTGCATAGATTCCTCCCCCCACTGAAACTTCCTGCCACACCCCCGGTTCTGATTGGTCAGAAAAGCCACCTTTGGATCGCATTATGAGAATCCCATTGGTTGTTAATCCGTCAATGCCATCTCCATCTGTGTTCCACTTTGTGGCTTTTTCCTATAACATACAAATAAAACATTTTACTTTGTTTTTCAAAATGACAAAAGCAGTTAATTATTCTATGAAACAATGTAAGGTTAGATTACTTGTCCATTCAATAGATGAATCAGACACTTACATGATTAAATCGTGATCCTAATAGCTTAAAAATACATGAATTAAACCATATACATATAAAAGATGAATCACAAAATTTTGGCATGAATATTCACTGATTCAGATATGTTTTATTTTGTGAGTGAATTGTCAAAATCAGATTTATAACTTACCCCTAAAAATATATTTTTAGCCGAGTCAAACCCGGCAGCATAAATACGAGCAGTATATGGTGGCTCCCTCTCGACCAATATACGACAGGCAAACCGTGATATTGTGCTCTGCGTAACTACTGCATTGTCTGTTCGTTGGTTACCAGGTATGGTATCCATGGTGATAAAGTCTATCGGCTCATCTGATGACCTTCCAATCTAAAAATAACAATCAAAATCTGATAAATTACACGTTATGCTTAAAGTGGCTGAAATGTAAAAATTTCAACCATATTCTTCTTCTTATTTTATTATCTAATTCTGCATAACAGGATTCCATGTTCAGACTAAACTAATATAATTTAATACCAACACGTTTTTTCTTCTAAAAATCCTGTGTTACCAATTGAACATCTTTTAAATTTCATTGTGATTTTCATTCATTTCGCTTCCTAAGATCCTTCAAATAAATCAATTCAATTAATGAAACATTTATAAGAGTTCGGTTGATTAGAAAACGTACAAACCTGGAACATATCTGTGTCATCATCGTGTGTGTATTCTACAACAATTGCTTGATTTCGGGACAGTGTATATGACACGGAATGCTGTTCGCTGTCCTGTACAATCTGTAATAGATATAAAATTCAAAGTATTAGATATTCGTAACTGAGATAAAACTCACAGCTTCCCCAATGCCAATAGCAACCAATTATCACCCTTGGCAATGACCTTGACCTGAAAAAAGATTACTCATTGGACAATGGACTGAATTTGTGGCAATTGTGTTTTCAATCCTATTTGTGAGCCTTATGAGATTTGGTTGACATAGAGGGAAAGATCTGCACTTGTCTTGGTAATAGCTGGAGTAGACAGTATAGGACATCCATATGATTACAAATACATATACTGTCAAGAAATAAATCATAGTCATAAAATATATTTAGAAACACAATTGAGAAAATGAGTTTCATCTCAAATTGAACATTATAACAAAACTAGAGAATGCTAATTGCAACTTCCTACAAAACTAATGCACGTTTTATGTCACTTATGTGTTATAATAATTGAGAAATTAACCAGTTAAATCTAGAAAGGTGCCGAGACAAGGAAATTGCTATTGATATTTTGAGTCTTTGTGAAGAGTGAAGTCTATGTGAGACATCTACTCTAGCTTATAATGCCCCCATCGGCATAATTAGAAGAATATTCCCTAATAATTTCTCAGTAAAATTTGAATAAGTGTCTCATTTTCTTGTTTTTTTCATTATGCTGTAATCTTAAGTTCTTACTTTATCCTACTCAGAGATCAGCTCAAAATACTTTTATTTTTCATGAGAATAAGTGAACAAGGAATTCAGTTAAATCCCCATGATAAAATTTACATGTAATTTTATGATTTAATTAGCAAGAATTCAGGAAATTGGTAATATTTTTCAAAATGTTATTTGGATATTTACACGTGTATGTGGAAGAATACATACCGTAATTGAAAACCCAAATATTTTCTGTAAAAATTGGGTTGAAATGATGGATCAATCCCCTTGAAGTAATCACTCAAGACATTGACATATTGACTCAACCCCAATCCTTGGTTGATCACTCAAATAATTGTTCTAAATTGCATTACAAAAGATTATTTGTAGGTTGTTCTTTATTGCTGTAACATGCACTTACACTGGATTCATGTGGTCTGTTTACGACATGTTTTCTAAGTGGCTTCACCCCATTTGCCTTTTTCCTCTTCAGAAGGCAATATTTGCTCCTTCTGCGGCCTTTGTCACCTTGGGGTAGGTTGCCATTATACCTGCAAAACAAGTGCTTAATCATTACATTTTTGCGATTATTTAGTATTGGTAACAGGTGTTCACATTCAGAGGTTCTGATAGCATGTACATTTAATTAATATTAAACCTAACACAAAAGTGTTCACATTATGAGGTGTTCCTATATAATATGCTGTATTTGAGGTGTTCCCATATAATATGCTGTATTTGAGGTGTTCCCATATAATATGGTGATTCTAATATAAAAAAGGCATTAAGAATATCCCACCTCATGCAATTTGTTACAAATATGCAACAATTGATTGAGATGCTAGCTGTTGATGCTGAATGCCGGTCATAAAGAACGAAGGCTATATGTCACCACTTCCGACATATAAATCGGAACTAAACATGCCATTCCAAGTTTAGACTAGGGAAATGAGAACTGAGAAAAACAAAATCTCAATGCTACGCTCTCATTTTGGCAAAAATGCTTATGATAACGATGCATTAAAATGCAAAATATCATCACCTGCCATTTGTTACAGATGTCATCTAACACTGAACACAATCCACAAAAAAGTTAGAGACTTTAACACCAAAATTAAATGAAATATTGCTCACCCTAATATCACAAGTTCTCCGTACATCACCGGTTTATCAGTGATAGCCTCAGCATGCTGTCTTCGACTCACAAGTCGTACAAACTTTTCCGTCGGCTCTGGTTCAGCACGACGTCTCTTAGTACTGCCACCTGAATGTTGAAGAATATCCGAAAATCCACTTGGATGAAGCTGTTTAAGGAAATCTGATGTGGGATTTCCAAAATTACTTGCACCACTTGTAGTCCTTATATCATTTAAGTGCTTGTCGATATTTGGGAATTGTTTAGCATTATCTAGACTATAATTTTGCAGCTCAGAATCCTTAGGAATGGGCAGTATGTCATTACCCCATTCTGTTAAATTAGTATTTTGAATCTTCAATCGAGGGTCTGTAAAAGTTAATATAGTTCCTGGGTTTAGTTTTGTTCCTTGGTTCAGGGCATCAGATGTAGCCCCAAAGGGTTTAGCTAAGATATCAAATGGCTGTGACGCGACCTGAAAGGGGATGGATGCACCATCAGGTTCCCCACGTACTAATGGAGTAGATTGGAAGGAACTCCCTTCTTCCTGTGTACTCTCTTGGCTCGAAATAATTGTTGACGATTTTGGTGATATGCTTAAGTATTGTGACGATGGATCTGGTGAATTGTTATTGAATCTGGAAATATAAATAATACCACATTTTATTATAGTTTTAGATTCAATAGTCTTGTTTCAAATAATAACACATTTTATTATAGTTTTAGATTCAATAGTCTTGTTTCAAATAATACCACATTTCATAGTAGTTTTACATTCAACAGTCTTGTTTCAAATAATACCACATTTTATAATAGTTTTAGATTCTAAGTCTTGTTTCAAAGCCCTGTGCTACATTCCCACATTTTCTACCGAGGACAATTAAATGGTCGAGAACCAGAGATATAGTCAAGAACAATAGACAGGGCTCTCAATAGGCTTTTTGCAGTGGCACACCCTAATGATCTTCTAGTGAGAGCCGTGGGAGATTTAGTCAAGAACCAAAGATATAATCAAGAACAAGAGATATAGTCAAGAGCCAGATAAATAGTCAAGAACCATAGATAGAGTCAAGAACCAGATAAAGTTTAGTCAAGAACCAAATACTTCATATAAACCTAAGACATCGAAAAATGTTCACCTCAGATATCACTGTAATTTACAGATTCAGTTATTTTTTCGATTAAGATCAGAATATTTTTCTGACATACCAGATATCAAGATTAATTTGTTTGCTGATAAAATACATGCTGCAGATCAATTAGTTTTTGGATGGAAACTTTCCTGTTCACTGGATAGATGTAAAGCAATGATAAGATACATTCATTCCATCTTGTACTTCTAAATTAAAGGTTTTCTAGTCTTACATCGTGACCTTGGCTAACTTGTTTTTTTCTGATTTGAAACTTTCAACCCTGGAGATAAAAAAGAATTTGCGGATTTGTGTTTCTTAACTTATATATAAGTTGCATATGACATATGAGGGCCCCTAAATGAACTTAGCATACTTATAAAATACATTCATAATGTCATATAATAAACATGTACATGTTTATTTCTGCAATATTATACAGATCACAGGGGCGGATCTAGGAACCAACAAGGGGGGGGGCCCAAACTTCTGGTCTGAGAAAAAAACTTTGGGCCCCAAAAACCCAAAAGTGGGCCCAAATTTTGAAATTTTGAGGCCCATTTTCTTCAAAATTTGGCCTAAAATTAAAAAACAAGGCCTTAGAAGGCCAATTTATGACCAAAAAGGCCTACTTTTAGGGGCCTTAAGGCCTTTTTTGGCTCAAAATTTTTTTTGGGCACAATTTTTTTTTTCTGGGCCCACCCCTGGCCCCTGGCCCCCCCCCCAGATCCGCCAGTGGATCACGTCCAAGTTCCAGTGCACTTGGTGGATTCAAAGGCAACCCCTTCTGGTTTCTGTCCTCTATGACCATATTACTTGGAATATTTCATGATAATAATCTGCAAGAGCAAACTACCTGTGAAAGTGAATGATACTCTACAACATCTACTGAGTATATCTCCACAGATTCCAATTAGACAGATATGACCTGGGAGCAAATCAAAATCTTCATTTACGCCACATTGATTCACTAAAATGATGAATCAGATCTCAAAGTGTCACGTCAAAATAAGATAGATGAGGATTGGTCGAATGTCACAAGAAAAATTCTATTCCATATCTAATGAAAGATACAGATATAGGTAATTAAGACAGGAAAATTATATTTGGATAAGTCTACATTTATATATGGTCCCTAGTTGGACAGTGATGAATGTTTTGATGAACATGAACATCTGATTACTAAAATCTCTCATGTGGCCACGTAAGATAATATTGCTCCTCTTTTAAGCTTTTATCATCTCCTTTGATTCTTCATATTTCTTTCATTTATCTTCATAATTGAATTATTTCAAGTAGAGTTGCTGAACCTCAAATGCCTGATATCATAGGTTGGAAATACCATATAGTGCTTTAGAACACATAAGACACATGGAGAATCTCTAATGCTACAGCCATCAGTGTCTGCAGTAGTCATTTAAATTTTTGAATCCCAGGGACGCTACCCAGTTGAAAAATTAGAGTCCCGTCTAATTATTTTACATCTCTCATTTTTTTGATTTTCATATTCATGCATTAGCAAATCTTCGTATTTACGCATTCATGAAACTTATTATCAATCAAAAAAAAATGTTCAGAAAAATGTAGAAGTACCTAGATTACAGTTCAAACATAATCATGCGTTTTTATAAGTACCATCCCTTTGATTTTCAGGTTCGCTTCTGGAACACAATACATGTGATATACAATATATATACTGTTTGCAATTGATGGATGAAAAGTGACTGAACTTGGAACATACACACCATATAGTCTTAATATATTGATTGCCTGGAGTTGATTGCTGCTAATGAATATAATTGCACAAAATACATGTTATATGAGAGAGGGACACAAAATTTTTGCACTTGGCCATAAAAATACATTGAACTTGGACAATATAGATGTATCGATTGCATCAGATAACTTATGAATATTGTAGAAAGAACATGTAGGTGATGATTAGATCGGGCAACTATTCTCTTATATTCATATCTGTCAGGCACAATTCCAAAATCCTAATTGCTTCTATTGATTTGGTTATAAGGTTATACATCACCATAGCTTCTCATTCTGGTAAGAGTAAAAGTAAAGTCATATCTGCATCAGCATACAACTTCATTGTCTTATCAAATGTATTATAACCTACTATGCCTAGTATATAAGGTAGATGAAGCTCTCTTTTAAGAAGCAAACCCATACCAATTGAAAAAGTAATGGTAACCTGAAATGGGCCTTAGGTGCTATCAGATAAATTCTGGCATATAGTCGAAGTCTTTAAAAGGTTTTTCACAGGTAATATCTAAGGCCTAATCATATTGTGAAATGTTCACCGCATGATGAACTTATGATGAGCCCCTCTGCAAGATATACTTATAAGTATTTCATAACAAGTGTTTTATATGATAAGACCCTCACAAAATGATACAACGCATAGCTTATTGTATTTATAAAAAGTATGATCAGGGCTTGGAGACAACCCATGTCTTTGCTTTCTCTTACTGATATCAATCTCTAAACTGAGATAAATTACCATGTCGTAAAAGGCACTAAAATACTTCTCCAGGCTAGAAGTAGATATAATAATAGTTAACTTGAGCAAACAAAAGCCAAGTATACTCAATAATGAGCAAATAAAATAAACTTTTCAAATATGTATATTTCAAATGATTTGTTTCTAGCTTTGCTTTATTCATTTCTTAATCTAGCAAATAATTGAAGTATTAATGAATAAAAATATTTCTTTTGGCACACTCGGGTATAACTAAGCTATGAAGAATTCAAGAAATGGTAATTCAGAAAATAAAATTTGGAAGATTTCTATAAGGAATGTCCCATTAATCCGTAGGATCACAACAATATTGAGGAGGTTACCTTAACCATTTCAAAATATTAGAATAAAAGAGACACTAAGAGTTTACGAGTATTTCAGCAGTGATATGAAAAGACCATGGGGATTCTGACCAAAAATCCAGATATGGTAAATGTTTAAAGAGGCTTAAAGGATTGTCTTTATTTGAACAAAAATCTGTTGTCAATGCTATATTCATACCTGGCTATGATATTCATATATTGACCTCTTATTTCATAAAGACTCAGGATGCACCCAGCCCTCTAGATATAAAGACAATAAAACACAAAACATACCCTTTGCATTCGTTTGACTTCACTTCTTCAAAGAGAGCTCCGTCTTCACTCTTTCAAACTAAAATAAACCTGTGAACTCACCGCGCCAATCAGTGTTCGTCGGCCAAATTTGACGGACGTTCTATATATGGTCATTCATCTTGACGTCATCGTTGAGCCCGGAACTGACCAATGGCATGCGCATATTTAATTAGAACGCATTTGGCGTATGTTTCTTCAAGCTCTGGTGGAAGAAAGGTCAGCGCGTAGGTCAAAAGTGATTTATTACCCAAACTGTCACGGTACCCGTCGTGGGGGCGGGGCTACTAAACTGTAATATGGTCTCTACTAGGCAGAGTGTAGTTTAACTAGACTCTGCACGCAGGGTACACAAAACAGTGTTTGCAGTCATAGTTCATGATATATCTTACAAGGCATTAACATGCAACATGTCATTTGTTACAGATACTGAACACAGACAACCAGTTGGAGACTATAACAATATGTCATCACTTCTGATGTTGACATAATTATCAACAATACTCAATTCCTCATATTACAAATAATAAGTCACCCTGGATCTCTGCTGACTCCCCTCTGATTACCCAGATGGTTTTACAGTTTTTTTGAAGATATAATCTAAAGGATCACAAGTCCTCTAACTAGATTTGTATATGAAGGTATAAAATGATTTTTGACTATACAGTCTGATTGGACATTGGCTACATTAAAGAATTATCTCTAATTAAAAGAGTGTAGAGAGGTTGATTTCTTCAAAAGGGTAAAAGGTACATTACCCCAAGCAATGTGTAGTTTGTTTACACGGTTGGTTAGACTACCAACATAAATGATCACATCATTATATTTCATGATATCAACATAACATGCTTCAAGAATGTAGATATCCCCATAACTGATTACTTTTTATCGCTAAGATGGATCTGACCATCAAACTAGAGAGAGCCTAACATGAAATATGAAAGGCCTGTAAAAAATACAGTAACAGTTCCCTTACCTCTCACTAAGAAAAACAAGTCAAGAGATACAATGTATTGACAAAGGACTCCAAGATTCCCCTATGTCAAGAGCAAGCTGTCCTAAAAGAAATTATGGTTGAGAAGGTCTTGATGAAAATACCAAATTCCATCAGATAAAAAGGAACATGCTAACTGAATAAAAATGATAGCATCTTGCTTTATTACTGAACAAAACCGCATCCAATCAATTACAACCCTATATATGAGCAGATGCTCACATAAACCCCGGTCCTACCAACATATTTTGGTATATTGATCCAGAATTGCTCATTAGAACTCTGAAAATTAATGTACCATTTGGTGGGTGATAAATAGAAGATCAGCTCATAAGAATCCATTATCAGAAAAATCTGGCACCAAATGTTT